TTCATTATGCTAATTTCCATGGACTACTGATTAGTGATTAGTGTGTGTTATGTCATATGTGGGTGCGGTATAGGTTGAAAGTGAGGGAAGGTTCACGGCAGAAGAGATAGCGAGCTCTGTGCAATAAATATTTACTTTCATTCATGCCAACAGCGGCGGTGGTGGTGCAGTAGTTTAGCAGCATGTGACTTATTTACGACTTACTAGTAATCACTAAAAAGTAACGCGATGTTTTGGTTCGTAAAACCCGCAACCCGAACCGCCCGACCTGCAACCCGATTGACCCGCACCCGATTGACCCGTAACCCGATTGATCCGTAACCCGATTTGCCAGCAACCCGATTGACCCGCAACCCGATTGACCCGCAACCCGATAAACCCGAACCCGACTAACCCGCAACCCGATCGACCCGCAATCCGACCAACCCGCAACCCGAATGAACCCAGCCCGAACCCGCCCGATTGACACCTCTACATAAAGGTATCTTTTCGATTTGAACCTTTACCTAGTGTAAACAACTCAAAGTTGATAACGAATCAGTGACGGGCTTAAGCCTAGGAGTCACGATCCAAAGCTATAACCGGAGATGCCACACACGTACTTGTCTCTTCTCTAAACCACAACCACCAACTAGGGTAGCACTGTTATGGCCATGTGCTAATCCTGTTTCATGAGCATACACAAAAGTTGACCTCTACTTTTGTTAGAGCGGCACCACTCTAAATGCTCACATAGGTGACATTCCAAATGAATTCATTAAGAGTTCTATAACTCATCTCGAGAGTTCTATAACTCACCCTTCTTTGGACTAATTTACTTGTACAACAAATTAGTGCCTCTGTTAGAGTAACTTGTTATTACCACATTGAACCTTTTAATTAGTGAATACCTAAAGAAAAGGTTGGGTTCCCGTTACTTCTAACTACACAAGAGGTCTCAATCCCTTCCCTTGGGATGTCTCATAGATCATGCCTCTTGGCAATCCTTTGGTAAGAGGATTTGCCACATTATTGAGCGATCTTACATACACAATAGAAATGATTACATTAGTAATCAAATATCTTACGTGTTCATGTCATAGGCTAGTAGCTCTAGACTTACGATTGTAAATCTGTTATAAGCTCTTGACAAAGTAGCCTCATTATCACAAAAGACAGAAATGGCTGACAACAGTTGTAGCCACAACTCGATATCTAACAACATCTTTCTTAGCCATTCTGCCACATTTCCAGCCGTCGGAAGGGCTAGAAATTCATCTTCCATAGTGGAGTGTGTCCTTTCGGGAAAGGTAACTCCCTTTTGTGTGAAAGGATGTGTCTCTTCGGAAGGAACTTCCAGTTTCACTACTATAAATAGATGACTGCCATAACTCTTTTAATAACGAGAGATTACTTCTTCTTCCCGTTTTCCTTCTCTATTTCATAAACACAGAAGTCTGCAAGATTGCTGCTTCCAGACTTAAAATTGAAGGGACTCCTGGGGGTGGTTTGCTCAAGCCTACCAGCAATTTGTAGTGGGGGCAAATAACACTCTAAGGAGAGTGATTAATCACGCCTTCAATCGATTCTTTCCTACCGTTTCCCTGACAATGCAGGAATAGATCTTAATTGCACCATTCGCTCTGTCCCAGTGCACAGATCGTATGGATATTATCGAGGTCTCCAGCTCTAGCGAGGGAGATGCCGCTGTTTTTTGCGCCATTTTCAGTCAACAACGACGAGGGAGAACCCTAGGTAGACCCTCGACTTCCAGCAAGGTTGTCAACCCGCGGGTCAACCCGGATTGACCCGGACCCGCCCAAAAAACAGGCTATTGCAACCCTTTTGACAGTTAGCCCGGACCTGGTCAAACCCAGAAAAACCCAGTCAAACCCAGCTAACCCGGGCGGTTAGCCCGTCCAGAGCGGGTCACTGGGTTGCTTCTCCTTAGGTTGCGTTTAACACTGGCGCACGACTTTTTGGCCGGGAGAAGGCGGAGGGCAGGGTCTGAAATCGAAAACCCTACCGCTAGTCCGCTACACCTTTCAATCTTCATCGTCTCAACCTCTCCTCTCCATTCCCCCGGTGCAGACCTGTCTCCCACCCCACAGGCGCCGCTCGATCGCCATCGCCAGGCTAAGTTCCCCTTCGTCTGCGGCAACTAGCTCCCGCTCCGCTCCCACAGCCGCTCGAGCTCTGTCCTCCGACCAATCTGAGTTTGAGCGCCGCTATCTGCCTCCGACCATTCTAAACCTCGAGCTTGGCCGCCATCAACTTTCCTCTGCCTCAGGTCGGGTAGGGTCTCGTCTCCATCTCCAGCTCGAGTTCGACCTCCTTGCTCTGTTTGATATTCGAACTCATATTGGTAAGGGTTTGGTTGATTTTATTAATTTATGAATGTTTGGTTAATTTTGGCAGGTGGTAACGCGAATTGGATTGCCTGTGTGGAGAAGTTGAATTATTATTTGTTAGTAAGGGATTGTTGATGTTATAGATGTTAGGAAGAAGTTGAATCGTTAATAATCATTTGGAATTTTGGATTGCTTATGTTTAAGAAGAATTTCAAATTGCTTATGTTTGAGATTGAGCAATGACGTTTCCTATATTGAACTCAGGATAAGTATAATATAATAACGATTTTCATATTTCCGGGCTAAAACGGGTGACTCATTGACCCACAAGCTCTACCGGGTCCGGGTTGACTCGTGGGTTGACAACCTTGACTTCCCGTCAACGACGGCGTGGGAGGTTGAATCGATCAATTCGCGATGCTAGCTCAATTTCCATTCTATGGTATATATAGGAAAAAAATACCACTCTTCTTGGGAGATATGGATGCTGTTGAAATATTGAGTATCAGAATCTTGGATCAAGTTATTTGTCATTGCACCACCTTGTCCATTGCGCAGTTTGAGATGCATCGGGTTAGCAGGGACTTTGACATCGTTTTTCAGAAAGAAGCGTGGTGATGGTGGGACAGGTTTTTATAGTAATCACCGTGGTTACTAAGGGCAAATTGGGTATAACAAAAAATTTATTAATGATCTTTTTAATAAATTACATAAATATATTAAATACAATTTTTCTCTTTCTCTTTCTCTCACTTCCACAAATTTTCAGCGAGATCTCTCTTCCTTCTTTTTCTTAATCTTTCCTTGATTTCGTTCATTCAAACTAATACCGCTGCAACAACAAAACAATAAATCAATACCAATTCATTAAAAAAAATACTACCATTGTACAAAATATCAATACCATTCAAGAAATAAAAACACTACCATTTCACAAAACATCAATACCATTGCAGATTTAATCATTACCAATGCGACAAAATCAATACCAATGTAACAAAATCAATACCAATGCGACAAAAATAATACCAATGCGACAAAAACAATACAAATACGACTAAGAATCACTACCAATGCGACAAAATCAATACCAATGCGACAAAAATAATACCAATGCGACAAAAACAATACAAATACGACTAAGATTCCAAATTGATGTCTACCCTCCAACCCCATGCACTCCCTTTTTCCCAGTAACCAAACACATAATTCAGGGGGGAAGAAACCAGGAAAGAAGGGTAAAGGACAATGGCGCCAACACACAGGAATTAGAAAGCGGCCAGCGCCACTAGAGTCTCCAGAGAAAGAACAAATAGCAATCACAGAAAACCAAGAAAGAGAGACAAAAAGGAGGCAGAGAGACCTTTGTGATACGGAGGTAGTGTCGACGGAATTGGGAGGAGGGATGGGGGCCTTGGAAGCAGCCGCCGCCTGACGGCGGTGCTGAGGGGAGTTAAGCAAACCCTAAGCCATCGTCGGGGAGGGTGAGAGCTTGTGGCTACGGCGGGTTTGGCTGTAGAAGTAAGGTTAGGGTAGAATATATAGAATAATCAAGTGTGGTCCTTTTTTTCTTCCAAAATTATCTTGAGGCAATCTTAACCGTAAGATTAAAAAAAGAGGAAAGAGAAGAAAATAAATGGTGGATACTGATGTAGCCACGGTGGTTACTAGAAATTCAGTTTCCACCCTAACGCATTCCTAGTGATGGTCACTCAATTGATCTTGAAACGCAAGAATACAAAGATTTCGAAATCCGAGGACATAGCCATAACCTATATCCCTTCTCGAATTTCCTTTACAGATTAATCGTTATTGGTGCTTTTTTTGAATCTCCTTTAGAGATTAATCCATGTATGTAAATTCGAACAGTAGTTATATATAGGCTCAATATAGGTGCATAATTACCCATCAATAACTAAATCTGGACTCTTCATTTAGAAAATCTAGATCTAAGGATGGAGAATTAAAAGTTATTTTTATTTTCCTTAGTTTTTTTTAATCGACTCATATCTTCTTCGTTTTAACTCGAATTAATTTTTTTTTTTTTGCACAGATGGAATGAGTTCGTTGTGCTCTATTGGATCTACATATTTCTGGGTGAACAAATTACGGGACCAAAAAATGCCACACAATACCACCCTGGTACCGGGTGGTATCTTGTGGTACACAACGTTAAAAGTCGTAAATGACAGTTAATATACTTCTACTATCATGTATTCAACCATCCTATAGTCTTGGTTTGTTCATACCACCACAATACGCTTTTCAAACCATAGGTATGCTCTTATTTCAATACCAGTCAATACCATATGGTATAGACTGGTAAAAAATGGCTCAATTTTTTTTTGTTCGAAAAATATATCAAAGTGGATATCATTTTGAAGAACACAGTTAATTTGATCTAACTGTGCAAAAAAAAATCGACTTAAAAGGAGTGAGAAATCGTCCGTCAAAGATTAAGGAGGGGAAAATTAAAAGCTTTCCAGGAGAGAGAGAGAGACGATGATGTCATGATGATGTGGACGGGTTACTCATGGTTACTCACCATAAAATTATAGGGATGAGATATGGGGTGAGCTTGGTTGCTGTCTTCGGTCCCCCATTGAGTCAGGGTTGCAACAAGCGTTGTCAGGAGGATCGAACCAAAGAAAGGGAAAAAAATATTAGAAAATGAACAAGTTGGAGAATGAGATCGTAGATGTTAGGAATGCGGTCCCTCACATCTTTGAATCTGTGTTGCAGAGACTTGGAGTGCGGCTGCCAGAGTTATTCGACATGGTAAGTACTCTGTCATGTTTTGTTTTGTACTCCTTACATAATTTTCGAAGCTATGTAATATGGGCATTTAAGTTAATATACTTGTTATATTCTCTGTAGGACAACAACAGCGAAGCCAATAGGAAACATGGTCGAGTGGGCAAAACTCAGGATAATGATGAGTCGACGACGAGTTTGATGAGGAGACTGCCGACGAGACTGTTGCTGCTACATGAATTTATTTTAATGCTATCATAGGATTCTAAGTATGGCTTGAATTTTGGGATATTTTGTGACATTTTCGGAGGATGTTAAGTTTTTGAATTTTAGATGTTTGGTAAGCTGATGGGTACTTGTAAGACAGTTTACCTAAGTCAATTTTGGAATATTATATTCTATGTATAACTTAGCTTGCATGAATTTTTTTGTGTGGTCATCACCAGAAGTGTAACGCCGTCACAAATGAAATTTGGTCACGCTATTTGCTACAAATTTATCCTTGTCAGTAGATATCATTTCACTACTGACGATAAGTAAGCTTCATTAGTAAATATAATTTCTCCGACGACACGTTGAGAAAGCTTTTTTTATGATAAATAGCTGTCCTCAGTATATATAATTTCTCCGATGCCACGTTGGAAAAGTTCTTTTTTTTATGATGAACAGTTTTCCTCGAAAAAAATAATATCTCCGACAACACGTTGGAAAAAATGTAGTTTTAAAGAAAGTTTGGTGGCATCCGTAAAAATAATATTTCTGACTATGCGTCGAGAGTAATACATTAGCACAAACAACCTCACAAATGTGCGTATAACGTATCAAAAAAAATTCGGCATCAAATTCTCATCACAAATATTTATTTTCGACGATTTGTGGACGTTAGTATAAATAGAATTTATGGCGGAATGTTGGAACTTCTATATTACTTACGAAGTATAAATTGTCAAAAATAAATAAATTTGTTGTCAGAAAATAAATTCGTCAAATTTAACCATCATGTGTGATTTCATTTGTGACGGCATTTTTTTATATTACTAACAAGTTTATGTCCTCGATAATATTTTTTGTTTTGACGACTGATCAGTAATATTTTATTAGCGACGGGACAATTTCTGACGACGTTCAATAACTGTATTTCGACGGAAAAAGTCATTTCTGATGCAATTTGATTAATATCGACGAAAAACACGTCGTCGATAATGACGGTCTCTTTTGTAGTATCATCTACATTGTCCATCCTTATTTAATTTCAAATCTAACCGTAAAAGGGGTGTAGTAGTAAAAGAAGATACTAAACATTAAATTTAATTATGTTTTTATCAGAAGTGGACGGATTATTAGAGATTGCCATACTAGACGATTTCTCTTTTTGGATTTGGTGGCAGAGTTTTATTTTAATTTTTTTGTGATTTCTTAAGATCGTGGACGGAGGATGGTTGAGTTTTATTAGAGATTACCACAAATTTGTCCAAAACAAAAAATCAATACTAAACAAACATAATTGTAAAAAAAAAAAAACTATTACTTCATAGAAGTATAGAATTGAGATCACTACTAACATTCACCGCTAAAAATAAAAACACTATTAAACAGAACTGAAAAATCACTATTAAAACTAGAAACGCTACTATACTTCCGCGCAAAATCACGAATCAGTGCTAACCTTTATAATCTCTATGCATCAAGATCTTAAGTACAGTAACACGCCCTAAAAAAATGGATCTAAGTGCAACTCCGATCAAACAAACAAAAGATACTGTATCTACGAATAAGATACATATAATGATCATTCTCTGAGAGAAACTTGAGAAGGCGTATATGTTATGGCATGAACCGATGATTGTCCCTCGATTTCGAAACCATTGCTCTCATTAAATGCTTCGTACTTTTCTCGGATTAGGCGCCCCGACCAATGTGTCAGCCTTATGACACGTAATAGGCGCCCATCCAGGGGGAACCGCAGACAATCCGTACTTTTTTGGATTCTTCCAAGCTTTGTCTTAAGAATCCCCCATTCATGTTTGGGTTCGGCCCAATGGACTTCCCTAGCGGGCCTGCCCTATGATAAAGATTGTTTGAGCCTTATGTCGTCGATAATATTTTTGTTTTGACGACTGATTAGTAATATTTTATTAGCGACGGGACAATTTCTGACGACGTCCGATAACTGTATTTCGACGGAAAAAGTCATTTCTGACACAATTTGATTAATATCGACGAAAAACGTGTCGTCGGTAATGACGGTCTCTTTTGTAGTATCATCTACATTGTCCACCCTTATTTAATTTCAAATCTACCCGTAAAAGGGGTGTAGTAGTAAAAGAAGATACTAAACATTAAATTTAAAATTTAATTATGTTTTTATCAGAAGTGGACGGATTATGGGAGCAGATCCGGTGAGTAACCTTGTGGTGAGTAACCCCATGCATAATCCAATAAGAATCTGTCACATCAGCGCCTCCTTCTCTCTCCTGGAAAAATCATTAATTTTCTTTCCCTTAATATTTAACGGACGATTTCTCACTCGTGTTAACTCGGAATTTAATTTTTTTTTTGCACAGTTAGATCAGATTAATTGTGCTATTCAAAATGATATCAACTTTGATATTTTTTGGAACAAAAAAAAATTGCCAGTTATTACCAGTCAATACCATAACTGGCAAATTTTTTTTGTTCCAAAAAATATCAAAGTGGATATCATTTTGAATTGTTACCAACTCTATACCATACTATACCACCATGGTATGTATGGTATTGACTGGTAATAAATAACATCATACCATATGGTATGAAAAATACCACCTCATACCAGGGTGGTATAGTATGGTATAGAGTTGGTAACAATTCAAAATGATATCCACTTTGATATTTTTTGGAACAAAAAAAATTTGCCAGTTATTATGAGTCAATACCATATGGTATTGACTGGTATTAAATAACAGCATACCATATGATATGAAAAATACCACCTCATACCAGGGTGGTATAGTATGGTATGGAGTTGGTAATGAGAGGTATGGAATTTTTTCCCCCCGAAAATTTTGAAATTCAATAGATCATGATTAAATCGTTCCTTTTGTGCAAAAATTTCCGAAAATGACTAAACAACGAAGGAGATACCATATGGTATGGAGTTGGTAACGAGAGGGATGAAATTTTTTTTCTCAAAAAATATTGAAAATGAATATCATTTTGTAGAGCACAACGAACTCGTTCCATCTGTGCATAAAAAAAAAATTTGAAATCCGAGTTAGAATGAAGAAGATATGATCCAATTAAGAAAACTAGGGAAAATAAATTCATTTAATTCTCCACCCTTAGATCTGTAGCCACTTAAAAGAAGGGTCCAGATTTGCTTACTCATTGTTACTCATCCTAAAGTTACTCGCCCTATCTTGAGCCACGGATTATTAGAGATTGCCATACTAGACGATTTCTCTTTTTGGATTTGGTGGCAGAGTTTTATTTTCAATTTTTTGTGATTTCTTAAGATCGTGGACGGAGGATGGTTGAGTTTTATTAGAGATTACCACAAATTTGTCCAAAACAAAAAATCAATACTAAACAAACATAATTGTAAAAAAAAAAAAAAAACTATTACTACATAGAAGTATAGAACTGAGATCACTACTAACATTCACCGCTAAAAATAAAAACACTATTGAACAGAACTGAAAAATCACTACGAAAACTAGAAACACTACTATACTTCGGCGCACAACCACGAATAAGTACTAACCTTTATAATCACTATGCATCAAGATCTTAAGTACACTAACACGCCCTAAAAAAATGGATCTAAGTGCAACTCCGATCAAACAAACAAAAGATATTGTATCTACGAATAAGATACACATAATGATCATTCTCTGAGAGAAACTTGAGAAGGCGTATATGTTATGGCATGAACCGATGATTGTCCCTCGATTTCGAAACCATTGCTCTCTCCTGTCTCGAGATCAAAGACAACGATGCGATCGCGATAGTGAGCACCATCTTTCTCCTCCGCGAAAAAACATGTCAAACTGCTCGCTAATCCGGTGAATTCCATAATGCGCATGGCAGGAGGTGGTGTAATGACATATAACTTGACCCAGGATTCCGGTAACCAACATTGCATTAGCATCCATATCTCCATAGACAAGGTATCTCGGTGGAACGGAAATCGAGCTACCATGGATTCCTCGGTGAACCAATATCCAGGATATCCAGAAACTCGACCCCATCCTTCGGAAACAGCTGCCGGGAAAGGCACATCAATCGTATCGCATGCTTCACTGCTAACGTCGATCGAATAAAACCGTAAGCTCTTTTTGGACGGTTCGGACCAATACAGTTTCCCTTCGTGATACGTGGGAACCGGTTGACGGGGAACTCTTGGGTAATAACGACCTTCTGATATCCTCCACGAGTCCTTCCTTAAACTATACACCTCCATCAAGTACGGAGGCATGAAGTAGTGATCACGTCCAACTTGTCTGAATACTTTGTAGTCATTGGTTTCCGAATCGAAACCAAACCCAACTGGCACAAGATCATCATGAGGACGGGAAGGGGGATCAGGGAGAAGCTTGGACTCCGATGTTGCCGGGTTCCAAAGAATCAGTTCGCGGACGTGGCCATTGAAGTAGGAATAGGATTCAGAAAATAGGCAAAGAAGACCTTTGCAGCATCCTACAACTTCCAGAAGGTTGCCGGTGGAAGGTAGCAACATGGTGGTGGAATTGGGAGTTGGGAGGAGGGGCTCCAGCGTTTCGGCAGAGTGCAAGCGGTAAGTTCTACTACTTTGTTTGTGGAAGCCCGTAACCATGATTTGGTAGTCATCAGAGGAAGAAGAAGAAGAAGTAGAGTCTGGTGGTCGCTGCAGCTTATGTTGCCGAAGCAAAGAGGGGCCCGAGAGGAGATCACGCCACGATCTGCAAATGCAGCGGCACCGACCGAGGCACGCACCGTCGGTGACCTTCGGTAGGATATGGGCCGCGATGAGCTCCTTGGGGATTTCGGCGGCGAGGGTACGTCGTCTCTTTGAGTTTGGCATCTTTTTTCTTCTTTCTTTGGTTTAGGGGTTAGGAGAGTTACGTACTGTGGCGATATCGAGACAATTATATATATTTATAGCTGAGGTGGTCAGTAGAAGATGTGAGAGGCCCGATTCCTAAAGCTAAAAGGATAAGTAAGTTTTTATTTTATTTATCGCAAGAGGAATCAAACCCTAGGGTACTCGACCCGATTCAACTAGCTAGGGTACAATTTGACCTAAGATGTTTGTTGGTTGGGTGTATAAGTTATGAGTTGACGTGGATCGAATACGTGATAACGTGAACTCCAAAATCATTTTAAATCCTCCTGTTTCAAGATCAAGGCCAATATAATGGTGCGTCCACCGATAATCTCTGGTAGGAAGAAGAGCTACCATTGATTCCTCTTGGAACAAACGTTGAGCAATACTAATATAATGATATTAGCAGCAGCCGCAAGACCAGACACGCACATTGACTCTCTCGAGAGCTTCACTGCAAATGTCAAACGAAGAAGGGGCTAGCTCCAATGTGTAGGGAGAGTACAAACCGTGTACATATTCAACCTTCACGCCGGTAATCATAATATGTCAATATCACACGCAAAAAGCAACCGGTAATCATATTCCCAAGGTATAACACTTCCAAAAAGCAAGAAAAGAAAGAAATCATTTCTATTTGGATCATGTATCAACTGGTTGTCAATCATCTGCATTACAAAATATGTCAATATCACACGCAAAGAAGCCCATCCAATATCAGTAGAGACGGTAACTATAAGACTATAATTACGGTTCGAATTACATATATACTAGCAGGGACCCGCTTGCTACGCTTCGCGCCTAAGTGAAAACATAATATCATTTTGTATGAAAGCATAGTTTAATAACACTGATTCATTGTATTTCTAACGGTAACGACAGATGCAATTAATCAAAGCATGAGATGACATTAAATAGTTAAATAAAGAAGTCTCTGAATAGTTTGTAATGCCAGGATTGCTGTCTGTAAATGTAGATTACAGACTTTGCCCACATTTTGCCTTCCATGTTTTGTGTATTCTTAGAAATAAAGAGCAAAGGCCAAGCAAACTATGAACAGTAGTACATTATACATGCAAAGTACCAACTACCAAGTCAATAATTATGCAAATTGGCAGTAGCCTGGAACTCCAAAACCGATAATGAGTATTTGATAATGGGAAGGCTACCAACAAAATATAGTCTAGCAATTGACAGACGACTTGAACACATACTACCCAATGTACAGGCATGTAGGTTCGATCTTCAAAAAGGCAGCAATCATTTAAGTTCTGGAACTTCCTGGGGATCATAATGCAGCAGCTTAGGATCGAGGGAAGAACAGTTGGTGTCAGAAACACACTTATTTAGGGTTTCTATTATTATATTAGGTAGGATAATTACAATTATGGTTAGTAGAGATTTAGTCGTATTAGGATTATTAGTAGGGTTTTCCAGTATCTCCCTATAAATATGTACTTTGGGTTTATGTCATAATCAGAAAAGCAAAATATTAAGAACAGTCTCCTAAACCCTAGTTTATCCTCTCAACTCCTAATTTCTATTCTCTCCTAATCCAAGGCTTCGACCGATTCTTTATCTATTCAATTCTTTCTCATCTAAATCCCTTATTCTTTCTCTCAACCCCCAAATCCCTAATTATCACGATTGTCGAAGATCATCTAAATCCCTAATTCATATCTAGCTATTGCTTGATCAAACTTCCATAAAATACTTACTTGGCTTTGACTACCATCTGCAGTCTGCAAGTTCAGAACAGTCTGATCCCTCGATGCTGCAACCTTAGACAAACATGATTTCCGATGGTTATTCATTGCAGAAGTGTCATTCTTGTTTGGATGTGCTTTGATTTTAGTGTGATAATGCCTGCACTTTCACATCGGATACTCATCAACCGCCACTTTCATAAATTCCTTCCAGCAATCAGTTGTACCCTTTGTCTCCAACCATTTCTGTAGTTTGAAGTCGCTTTTAACTTTATCTGAATCCGGAGCAACCGTTTCTTCTACTGCTGGAGTCTGAGCACCAGGTGTACTTCCACTATCGGCATGGGCGGGAGTCGATGCAATTGATGCCGACGCCGACGGTTCAGCAGACTGAACAGGCCGACTCCCTGTACGTCCACCATGACCTCGATTCTGAGCAGGAGGGGCTGAGGCACCCGCACCACCACGACCTCGAGGAGCCAGAGCCGGAGGTCTCCCACCACGAGAAGCAGTCTCAGGGGAAGGTGCACCTCGTCCGCCCCGTCCACCACGCGGAACCGGAGGTCTCGCCCTACATCAACAGTTATACAAATTAAAAATTGAAAAAATATTCACAAATTCTAACAAATAACAAGCATCATCATTCATCATCACTAAACCTTTATAACTTATTAACTTATAACTTATAAGTAATAAGCATATAAATATCCCATTTTCGTGGACCGTGGTTGTTCATCATCATCACCATTCACCAATCATCATCATTCATCATTCATCATTCAAAATCATCACCATTCCACCAAAATCATCATTCTTCATTCATAAATCAATCATTAAAACTCTAAATCATCCTTCTAAATTTCTAAATTCTAATAAACTTACATAATATGAGTTAGCACTCAAGGAGCAGCCGAGCAGGAGGGCTTGCCGCCGGCGGGAGAGGGAGGAGCGACTTCTTCGCGAAGTCGGAGGACGGAGGCGGCGTTCGCGCGGCGCGGCGGCGGTTGGAGGAGGCAGGAGACGGGGGGTGGCACGGCAGGTGGAGGCCTGGCAGCGCGTCGCGCGATTGGAGGCTGCCTGCGTGTCGCGACGGTTGGAGGCGGAGGGAGACGGCGGGGTGGCTGGAGGAGGGGCGGCGAGGGTGGCCGGTGAATTGGTGAAGGGCGGCGACAGCGAGGGTGGCTGTGGGTCGTGGCTGCACGAGAAAGGGGGTGGCTGCCTGGCTGGGGAGTGGGGAATGGGATCGACTGGGTTTGAGGGGCTAGGGGTCGTTTTGGGTGGGGTTGGAGCGGGGTCGTTTTGGACAGGGTCGTTTTGGAGTAAAGGGCAAGAGGTCGGTTAGCCGGTTAACCGTCAATTTCTGACCAGGTTAATCGGCTAGCCGAGCCTCTTCCCCTGTCCTCCGACGACCGACTACCGACGGTTCGGTCGAAACCATTTGATTAACTGCTAACCGAAAACCGTTCTACAAGTCCTAACCTCAACTCACCAACCACGAAAATTGCCCTCATCATATGCATGAATTGTAATCTCCAAAGCAAAGAACTGCATAGAAACTGTCAATTGGACAAGGTAATTTTAATTTGTGTCAGGCAAAAGACTAAAACATACAGAGATGCCCCAGGAGTGGGAGGCGGGGGTAGGAATTCATCAATTGGTCCCGAGTCTCATGACAAGAAAATTATTTTGGAGAAGAAATTTGACGAAAGAAGTGGGAATTGAGGAATTTTACGATCAGGGTATTGGATGGAAGGGTTGAGAATGGTGTCCGTCTACTAGTAAACACCGGATTGAAGAATCTTCCTTGTCATATATCAAAATTGCGGCAGGGATTAATGGAACTGCTGATAGTGAACTGCTGCGGTATGTCCGTTCCCTTGCAGTAGCTTTTCCATTCCTTATTCTGAAGCTTTCTAACACTTGGTGGAAACAAGTAAAAATGTTATTTCAGATCATTCAATTAATACACATAGAGGCAGTACGTACGTATAACTGCGATTCGAATTTTACATACAACAATTAATCTATAAAAGAAACTTGAGAAGGCATATAGGTTATGGCCTGAACCGATGTTCGCCCCTCCATTTTAATCTCTTTGTATTCTTGCGTTTGGAGATCAAAGACGGCGAATTCGGGACTACCTATATGCTTCGTCTTTGTGAAAAAAGATATCATATTCGTTGCTAATCCGATGCATTCCATACTACGCAGTGGAAGGGGCAGCGTAACGACAAATAACTTGACCCAGGATTCCGATACCCAACATTTCAACAACATCCATATCTCCCAAGATGTGGTGTATGTGGCATCATAGCAAGGAATTTGAGCTACCAAGGATTCCTCGTTGAACCAACATCCATGCAAACCTACGGGACAAGACAGATCAAATGTTTCCAAGGCTTCACTGCTAAAGTCGAACGAATCAAACTGTAATAACCTCCCCTTTTTGGACACGTACCGCCAATACAGTTTCCCCTTGTGGTATGTGGGAACTGGGGAATCGGGAAGCCTTGGGTAAGAGCTAGCCTTCTAACACCCTCCAGGAATCCTTCCTTAAACTATATACCTCCATCAGATAAAGAGGCAAATAATAACAGTCCTCACGTCTGTTGCGTTGTCTGAATACTTTATAGTCATTGGTTTGTGAATCGAAACCAAACCCGACGGCCGGCAGAAGATACACATGTGGACTGGAAGGGGGAGGGAGAACCTTGGTCTCAGAGGTTGCCGGGTTCCAGAGAATCAGCTGCATGGAGGCATCCAAGTCGAAACCTGATAGACAAAATAGACCATTACAGCATCCTACAACTTTCATAAGTACTAAATCACGATGAAGCTCCGTGGAGGGTAGCAACATGATGGAATTAGGAGTTGGGAGGAGGGGCTCTAGGGTTTCGGCAGAGTGCAAGCTGTAAGTTTTCCAACCTTTGTAGTCGACGCCGGTAATCAAGATTTGGTAATCAGAAGAAGAAGAAGAAGAGTCGGGTGATCGCATCTTATGGTACCGAATCAAAGAGGGGCCGGAGAGGAGATCGCGCCACGATTTGCAAACGCAGCGGCACCGCCCGACGCACGCACCGTCGGTAATCTTCGGCAGGATATGGGTCACGATGAGCTCCTCGGGAATTTCGCCGGCGAGGGTACGTTGTCTATTTGAGTTTGGCATCTTTTTCTTTCTTTCTTGGGTGTAGGGTTTACGAGAGTTACGGCGGCGAGGATCGAGATCGACCCAACCATGGCACTTACATTTATAGCACCGAGGTGGTCAGTACGTGAGAAGAAGGGATTCAAATACTCATATTCTCCGATTCCTAACAGGATAAATAGTTTTAATTTTATTTATTGTACTAGTTTTTATCCGATTTGTTGGTTGGATGAATTTTGTTTTATTTTATGTTGATCAATTTCTTCATGCTTTCAAATAATTTCAGATGTTCTAAAATAGTTAATTCATTATTTCAAAATAATCTTCATGCTATTTGTTTATTATGAAATTAGCGATAATTAGTTAATGTATATTTTTTTATCAAGTCGTCCTAGTGTACTGTTGTGTGTTTTTTATCTCTTAGAAGAATTTAAGAACTTTAATTGTCGGATATGAATTGGATTTGGAAGGAAATATATGTCATCTACAATTGGTAGGATTTGAAGGTATATTAAAATATCAAGGTATTTTTTTTATCTCTTTGATACTAATGCACGTACAAAAATTAAGAAAATTCAAACATTATAAAACATTAAATTATATCCTGTCAATACAATCTTTAACTATTTATGTGAAGTTAATAACATAAATTGTCACTCTCTTTTCCATTTTTCTCAAATCTATCCATCTACTATTTTTCACATCAAACATGCCTGTGTACTATATAGTATATACGTTTTAACAAATTAAATTTACCCACATTTTGTGGCTTATGTTCTCCGTCTGCAACTCCCAATAATTAATAGACACAATCCCATTGTCCATCTGTTCCGCTTTCTCTTCCTTCGACCCAACAATAAACAAACACAAAATTTGTCTGTCACGAAAGAACCTTGAAGACCAACTATGAATTTCAACCATCTCTGAAAGTCCACAATTATTGATCGATTCGACTCAATCATAAAGATTCGAACCCAAAATTTTTAGAATATCTAGATTTCAAATTATCAAAGGTTGTCAACCCGATTTAGCCCGTTGGTCTGGTCGATTAAGTGGGTTGAGGGTTAAGGTCCAATCGTTTTAGTTCGCTTTTGTCCGGATATATGAATAAGTCATTATATTGTTCATATATTTATAAATTATATGAAATCTCATCTACATATGGATAATATTCTTCCTCGCCCGGACTATCTATAGTTGTTTCTCTATCTGCTACTTTCCGCTATCCTCCTTCGAGCTTCTAAAAAGCACTCCAACAACATGTATTCATAACGTGATGAAGGTCGCACTTCTATGGCGACGGTGTGTGTGTTAGGATTGGAATTAATGTGGAATGGCCATGTGGGAATTGAGTGTGGAGTGTTTGCGAGGGAAGGCAATATGTGATGGAAGGCAAGTTTTGCCAGTAGTCTCTTTGTCTACAGAATTAACTCAACGGATTTAGCTTACCAATTCGCGGAGCGGGAGCTAGAATGGGGGCGTATGAGAGTGTATATTATTTGAGAGTTATAATTTGAGTGTCCCGAAAGAGCGTGAATATTATATTATTTTAATTAATATATTATTTAACTTACTAACATGGTTTGGTCAAAATATTATAACAATGCAGCGGAAAAATAGAAATAAAATTATTTTAGTAGGATAATAGCTTTAAATAATCTGATTAGAAGGGTGGGTACCGTCCCTATGAATATTGATTTATGAATAGTAGACCATATTTCTTTGAATGTTGTTTGAATAATTCTGATCATTACCATTTAGTCATGTAAACAATTTTATCTTGGATCAGGAATCATGGTATATTGATGAGTAGTGTATGGTATGATTTGGCTACTATTGTGTATTAAGTTATATCAAGAAAGATATATATGAAAAATTAGCAAGCAACAAGCTTGGTTATGGATTTGTGTATAGTGACGAGAGTATTTGCAACTAGCTTATAGTCACCAGTATTAGGTTCTCTTTAGCGACCATTTCTGTTCATTCAAAATATTCACAATTCTATCTTTAGTGACTGTTTTGAGTTGGTTGCGAAATTTGTTTAGCCACTAATAAAGCAAGGGTTTTAACCCTTGCTAGTTTTAGTTACGAATCTACCAGGGGTTCTAACCCATGCTACGAACATCTCACTTTTTGATTTTACACTACCATGTAGCAGGGGTTTTAATCTCTTGATACATGTAGCAAGAGTTAAAACCCTTGCTATAATCTTGACAATGACTTCCACCGTGGGTTGATAAAAATCCTTGATATAAGTAGCAGGGGCAGCATTGGTGTGAGTTCATTTAGGGGTTGGAGAAACCCTTGCTACACTTTGGCTTAAAACCCTTGGCATAGAGTGCTTTTCTTTAGTGTATGTTCAATTAGCACCTTTTGTGCCGTTAATTTGTTTGGTAGTCGATATTTATTGGTCTATTGTAATTTGAATCGATAAGGCTGTGCCAGAGTACGTAGTAGCGGTGGCACTCGCATTATTTTAGCACCGCACCATACGGAAGGTTTAACTTACACATTCACTTCTGCATGACATGTTGAAGATACATTTTTTCATAATATACAAACGTTTGATGATTAAATCTCCTAAATATGGATGGCCCTTGCAGACACTTTCCTTTGCTAGCTAGGTGCTTCGATGGATGCATGCAACCCATTGTCAAAAAAAAAAAATCCCCTAGCACATAGCTATAAATATATAAATCAGAGAGAACATAACAATCTAAGAATACTCGGAATAGAAGGAATCATTTATTTGATTCGATAATGTTCGAGCTATTTGGTTTTATCCGAAACTGGACCGGAACCGGATAGCAAACAACTCAATATCATCTTCGGTCTAAGATTTGAGGTGAAAAACCGTTTGGGACCGGATCGAAAACCGGATAAAGACTGGATAAGAGAGCCCAACACCCAAAATTTAACCAACTTCTCACCCTTTGAGGCCTTAGGCCACTCCAATCCCCACAAGTTCAATCTAAAATCAAGACCGAATCAAGACCGGATCGAATCAAGAGCGAACTGTATCCAATCCAATCTTTGGACCTTATATTCCTGAAAAAACTGGACCGGGACCGGATCAATTCGGGCCAATTTAACCGGACTGAATCTTATAGCTACCCCTAGTTCGAACAACCCATTCAACGAGGAATCTTAACTATAGTTGTGATATGAACTTACAATAATCTTTGAGTGAAACCCGAGAAGGTGTATAAGTTATGAGATAACATGGATCTAGTACGTGAACTCCAAAATCATTAAATCCCCCTGTTTCAAGATCAAAGACAATGGCCCATCCAGCACGACCACCGACAATCTCTGGTTGGAAGATGTTAGTGAATGGTGTATACTTCACGATTGAATCGCTCCCAACAACTCGAGTTACTGGATCAACTGGTTCTTAACATGGTATCAGAGCCTTATGTGACCAAAAGGTCTTATGTTCAAATTCCGGTGACACCGTTTGTAAAGCACATGGTATCGTGTATTCAAACTTGTGCAAACAAAAACCCTTATGAGGTGACTGGCTTGTGAAACCGGCTTTCGTTAGTAAATGGTATATGATCCACGATTGAACACCCACAACTTCCCCTTATTCTGATGATGACAAGGGAGAGGGACAGGACTCAAGAAAGAGGATCTTGGTCTCGAAGGTGGCCGAATTCCAGAGAATCAGACCGGTTTAGCCATCAGTGTAGTTGTTCAAAACGGATAAACAGAACAAATAGTTACAGCATCCTAAACTTGTACGTCTCGGATTTCATTGGGCCGAAGGCCCATGCAGGGTAGATCCAGCATGGCAGTGTAGTTGTTCAAAACTGATAAACAGAACAAACAGTTTCAACATCCTGAAACTTATATGTCTCGGATTTCATTGGGCCGAAGGCCCATGCAGTGTAGATCCAACATGGCGGAATCAGGAATTAGTGATGGCAATGGGGCGGGGCGGGTACCTCAATACCCATGTCCTGCCCCACGCTACTACGAGTCGTGGCGGGTAAAATAGTAATAATAGAATGGGTAACTGAGTCTAACCAGTTGAAAGATCGACTCTAACTAGTTGAAAAAAGTCAAAATAGGATAAATATGTATAGATATTCTAAGAAATTGAGGTAGAATGGGCCAAGAACGGGGAGGGGCGGGGCAGGGCGGGTCGGGTCGGAAGTAGATACCCATGCTAGTATGGGTCGGGTAATACCCGTCCCATCGCGGATCAGGTCGGATAATACACGCGGGGCGGGTTCAAATTGTCATCACTAATCAGGAAGGAGGGGCTCCAGTGTGATAGGAGAGTACAAACTGTACCTATAATGTGGACAGTTGAGGGGTTCGTACTTCACGCTTGTTATCATAATTTGACAAGAATCATCGGCCTGCTTCTTATCATGATGATTATGATGTCGGATCAAGGAGGGAGCCAAGAGGAGATCGCGCCATGATTTGCAGACGCAACGACATCGACCGACGCATGCGCCGTCGGTGCTCCTCAGGAATTTTGGCACGGCAATGGCCGGCGAGGGTACTTTGTTGCTAATCTTATTTGCTTAGGACAGTTTATGGGCTCTTCATAATTGATATGACTGATTGACGAGCCTCTCTAAATCTCAAATAGAAAGAGTCCAAGAACCCAAAACGAAATCTAAAGCCCCAAACCACTTCACATAATTAATCTCTTATGAAGCACAAAAGAGTTATACAAACATAGTAAAAGAAAATGCCACTAGATTATGTTGCATACACAAAACTTATCCCTTCAGCGCGATAAGCAATGTGATGATGTTAAAGCAAAAAACGACGTCGAGAATATCTTTCTCAAGCTCGCATGTGATGTCGTCAACACGCCTTAAAAATGCTGAGAATCGATCTTAGAGATAACAAGCTTTTCACCAAACATGGTATATATGTTGTTCGACAACGTTCAACAGTCGCATCCCTTAACTATAATTACATCAACAAAAAAAACACAGTGAGAGATTAATTCATAAGAAAAACAAAGTCTTTTTTACTTTATGATTACATTGGCAAAGGAGTCGTGGAATTGGAAGCAAATCATAGTATTGGCGTTTCGGGGGTCAGAGAGGAGTGACTTCCTCAGTACTTCGCTGACGATGAACTCGTGGAAGAGTAGGCGGAGGAGTAGTATATGAGAGCGGATCCCATGACTAAGGGGGGGTCCTTAGTCACTTGACTAAGCCCCTCCTAGCCATTAGATCTGGACACTTCAATCTAATGGTTAAAAAGTGGGAAGGGCTATTTAATTAATGATAGGGGTAGTTTGGGTATTATGGAAAATTACAAAGTATACAAACTGGATTTACAATCAGTACAAACCATACAAACATACGAACAGTACAAACTAGAGCGAAAAAACATACAAACATTACAAACGTATGAACTGTACAAACAATACAAACTAGACCGACAAACAATACAAACCATACAAAAAGAAAAAACACCCGGGTTGACTTTGGAGGCTCCATCCCTATATAGAGGGGCTCCTTCCCAAAGTCAACCCGGGTGTTTTTTAGACATACAAACAGTACGAACATGGTGGACAAAAATGACAAACTATACCGACAATCCATACGAACTGAAAAAACACCCGGGTTGACTATGGAGGCTCCATCCCTATATAGAGGGGCTGCTTCCCAAAGTCAACCCGGGTGTTTTTCATACATAAAAAACATTACAAACATGGTTGACAAAAATGATAAACACGGTACACAAAAATAACAAAGTTTACAAACATTACAAAAAAACCCGACAAACATTACAAAATAACAAAGTTTACAAACATTACAAAAAAACCGACAAACATTACAAAATAACAAAGCGTACAAACATTACAAAATAAATCGACAAACAATACAAAGCATACTAACAGAAAATCTCTCTCTCTCTCTCTCTCTCTCTCTCTCTCTCTCTCTCTCTCTCTCTCTCTCTCTCTCTCTCTCTGGGGATAATTATTGGAATAATGGCGCACTCTTGGGGGATAGTTCTTGAAATAATGTCGCTGGAGCTAGTAATGCCCAGGGGAGCCACCGCCGAACAACCGGACGGAGGCGGAGGCGGCGGGCGGGGCTGGTAAATATTTTTTATTCATTTTATAATTAAATATTAAAAAAAAACATGCAATTACTACATTGTCCTTCATTAAATTGGATTAATAGGAGCCCTTGGATTTTAATGAAGTTGAGTGGCTGAGATTCACTTAGCCATGTGACTAAGGGGACCCCCCTTAGTCACCTGATCCCAGCCCGTATGCAGCACAACTATTAAAGTTTTTTCGAATTTGATAAAAATAACTTACCTACATGCGTCGCTCTCACGGGTAGGGGTCCTTTCTAAAGTCTGCCACAAGCGACTAAAACTCCAAATCACGATCGATCTCAAATCCACTCCATCGCCACTGAGTCCTAGTTCAACCCCCTCATCTAACCCCTTGGAATGTCGCCCTTATTGCAAAGCCGAAAGGGAGAAAGATTTTAAGAGATAATGAGACGGAGAGGGACATAAGCACCAGAAATTCAACGAGTAGAGAAGTTAAGTTTTAGGATTGAGAAAGCACCTGTTGCGAGAAGGATAACATATGAGAAGATTAGAGAGAGAGACGAGTAGAGAGAAGGCGAGCAAGAATCCAATTTCACTATTAATTAATAGAGAAAATGTAGAAATTGGATTGTTGTAACCCTCCAATATGGCTTGTAACTCATGCCCATATTAAGGGTTAGTGGTTGTCTACGGAAACTGAAATTGGCCGTTGATACTCTGCGGCATAGCGCGGCATCACAAACTAGTTTAATTATAAAGTACATTCACTTCAGTTTATCCAATAAAATGGCAACTCATTAAATAATCAGTTATTCGAATTTATAACGTATTTTTCCTATAAACTATAGTTCAAAATTGGTCTTCTAACCTGATTGGAGGGTTTTTTGCTCCGAAAAACTAGGGGGCGATTACGGAAGCGGATTTGAGCGAGCTAGGGTTTTTCAAGCTCATGTCGGCGGAGGTCTCGCCGCCGGCAGGAGGAGGCGCGGGAAGGCCTTTGCAGCAAGACGCTGGCGCGGGACAGCGTCGTCCACCAACGGAATCCTCCTCCCCAAACCCCAAGGGGGACAAGGAGGCCCAGCACACCAAGAAAAGGGCGAAGCAATCGATGGAACAACCGAGCGTAGGGATTACAGTGGACGAGGCCATGCCGGAGGTCACCGCTGAGGATACCATGTCGGGTAGAAGCCCGAGACCGACGGCTTGGGCGCAAAGTATGGGCGCAGCAAGGAAGCTGTTTGGTGACAGCCAACGAATGGATGAGTGGTATACAGCGGAATCGGACTCAGAAGACATCGCTGCAGCTATTCGTGAGGACGGACAAGAGGCAACTTTTGACGAGGAGGAGGATCCCAAGTGTCCCCCGATCCAATTCTCGGCTGCTGAGGAGCGGCTATTCTGCATAGACCTCCGATCTGCTTTGGTGGTCAAAGCTCTTGGCCGGTCAGTGTCATATACCGCCATGTCTCTCCGCCTCAATGCAATATGGGCGAAGGCGGGGGGTATCCAAGTTACCTCGATGAAGAAAGGCTACTTCCTGATCCGCTTTACAAGTGGTCTTGATTATGAACGAGCCATAACCGGTGGACCATGGATGATTGGACAGAGCTATCTCACTGTCCATATGTGGGATAAATACTTCGACCCGTATGACCACGAGATATCATCCACGGTGGTTTGGGCGCGCCTCCTGGAACTCCCAATCCAATACTTTCACCAAGAAGCGATGATGAAAATTGGGCGGCGCATGGGCAAACCGATACGTATCGATGCCGCCACACGTACAAAAGCTCGAAGTGACTACGCCAGAGTGTGTGTCCAGGTCGATCTCACCAAACCCCTCCTATCGCAGTTTACAATCAACGGGAAAAAATACTTCATCCAATACGAGGGTTTGGACAAAATTTGCCTAAACTGTGGTACGTACTCAGAGTTAGGTGCATGCCCATGCACGAAGACCCCAACCCCGATGGATGACGACAGCCATGTGGGGGTGAACCAGACGCCGGTGGATGAACCGCAACGGGATGCTCTTTACGGTGAATGGATGATAGCGAAACGCAAACCGAGACAGCCTAGCAGGGAGCAGCCCACCCGCACCAATAAAGAGGGAGGCCACATGCCGCAGGGAAAAGGGCAACCTCGCAACTCAGCCCAGGGGTCCCGCTTCGACGTGCTGCGAGGAGACGACATGCAGGAGAACTCGATTGATCAACCAGCCCCCGTTGGCGGAGTAGCAATCGAGGAGAAGACACCCAACACCCATGTAAATCTCAAAAACAAATCGAAGGCTTTGGATGTTGGGACCAATCATGCGGCCCCCATGCAGACGATCCCACTCGAGAGGGCTTCTTCGCTCCGAGGGCCTAGCATTGAGTGCCAGCAGCCTAAGACACCACGAAGCGCCCCTCTAAATGTTTCATCCACCGCGGATGATTCGGAAACGGCCACGAATCCCATTCCAGCTGCCCTAGTCTCCGAGGGCCGCAAAGTACAATCAGCTCCGCCACCTGGAAAAATCAGACTGGGGACGAGCAACAAGACCACGATATGGTGAAGGTGCCACCAGATGATAATGGTTTACCCAAGGGCCCTCGCAAGGCCCATAGTGGTGAAACGAGGAATGTCTCGACGACGAGCATCGACGGGAGCACCCCGTCGGCGAATTAATCCCCAGGGAGTCTCTTTCCTTACCCCAGCTTTTATGGATTGTAAAATTTTTGCATGGAACTGTAGGGGTGCGGGTAGTAGGGGTTTTTTACGTCCGTTCCATGAGTACCGCAGGAGGTTTTGCCCTCACATTGTGATAATTGTTGAGCCTCGTATTAGTGGGTCTAGGGCCCTCGATGTGATTAGGGATATGGGTTATGATAGTAATCTCGTAGTAGACGCCGTTCAGTTTTCGGGAGGGATTTGGGTTGTTTGGAATGCTATTGAATTTACCATTACTGAAACTGTCTCACACCCTCAATGTATCCAAATGCAGGTCCAAATGGCGAACTCTCAGGAGGCGCCATGGCAGCTTTCAGCAATTTATGGCCATCCGGCTCCCGTTCAGAGGAGAGCTTTGTGGGAGCATCTACGTTCGATTGCGGAGGATATTGAGGGCCCCTGGATCTTGACGGGTGATTTCAACTCCATTCTCCATCCGTCAGAGAAACTGGGGGGTGCAAGCTTCGACTCAGCTCGGATTCGGGACTTCCAGAACACAGTTCATGATCTCGGCCTCCATGACATGGGCTTCTCGGGACCCCCGTTCACCTGGTTCAGATCCGGACTGAGAGAACGCCTTGACCGTAGTTTGGCCAATACCAGCTGGACCCTTACGTTCCCGGAGACCTCCATCAAGCATCTCCCTCGGCTCAAAAAGTCAGGCCACCGGCCTTTGTTAACTATGCTGACCTCGAATGCCCGGCCGGCGGGACCGAAGCCATTCAAGTTCCTCGCGGCATGGCTCGCGCACCAAGGCTTCAGACCAATGGCGGACGCTGCATGGGCTAAGGGCACCCATTTCTCTGAGTCTGCTTCAGCCTTTGCCCAGGATGCAGCGGACTGGAACAGGCACGTGTTCGGCCACATTTTGAGGAAGAAGGATAAACTGATTCGCCGACTTGAGCAGCTGGAGCTGGTGCCTCCGAATCAAAGGAATGAATCTCAATTTGGCCAGGTCCAGGAGGAGCTTGAGATTATCCTCTTCCAAGAGGAATTACTATGGCTTCAAAAATCCAGAACGGAGTGGATCAAGGCTGGGGACCAGAATACAGCGTACTTCCACGCTAAAACCCTTCGACGGAGGAAGAGGAACCGAGTCACCACGCTAAAAAACGAGGTAGGCGAGTGGATCGAAGACCCGGCCGCTTTACTGGACATGGCCAGGATCTTTTTCCAGCTCCTTTACACGGATGAGGGTGGGGATCTCCCGTCCATGGAGTCCCATTTTCCCCTTATCGAGGCCTCGAGATGGGCTGCTCTCAATGATGCCTTGACCCCTACGGAAATCCATGCAGCTATCCGCTCGATGGGGGCTCTCAAAGCTCCGGGAAGGGATGGCCTTAACCCAATGTTCTTCCAACGATGCTGGGAGACAGTGGGGTCTTTGCTGGTCCAGTTGGCTTAGGAGTGCTGGAACCAGCCAGAGAAAATCCAAGAATTTAACTCAACGGTTCTGGTCCTCATTCCCAAAACCCAGAATCCGGTGACAATTGACCAATTCCGCCCTATCAGCCTGTGCAACGTGGCCTACAAAGCTATAACAAAATGCCTGGCTGAACGGTTGAAACACCTGATGCCGGACTTGGTTCATGAGACACAAACCAGTTTTGTTCCTGGCAGACATATTACAGATAATATTTGTATTCTGCAGGAGGTAGTTCACTCCATGAGAGCTCGTAAAGGACGCCGAGGGTGGATGGTTTTAAAGGTGGACCTGGCGAAAGCCTACGACAGGATCAGATGGGGATTTGTGCGTGATACTTTGATTGCTACAGGGGCCCCGGAAGGGTTTGTTAACCTCACGATGGCCTGTATCACATCCTCGAGAATGCAAATACAATGGAACGGAGGTCTAACGAAGGAGTTCCAGCCATCCAGAGGCCTTAGACAGGGATGCCCTCTCTCTCCCTATCTTTTCACCCTTTGTATGGAACGTTTGGGCCACCTAATTGTTGATTCGGTCAGAGCAGGACGCTGGCAGCCCATAAAGCTGACCAATAATGGTCCCTCTTTGTCCCACCTTTTCTTTGCAGATGATCTCATCCTGTTCAGCGAAGCCAGCACCACCCAGGCTCAGGAGATCTTGAATTGTTTTGACAGGTTTGGAGCTTCATCGGGGCAGCAGATCAGTCGGCCCAAGTCCCGAGTCTTCTTCTCGGCTAACGTGACTACGGACCATCGGAAGAGCATCAGTGAGGAGTTGGGCATCCCGGAGACTCTGAACCTAGGCCGATATCTTGGAGTTCCGGTGATACACGACAGAGTTTCCAAAGCCACGTTCACGGAGCTCATCGATAGGATTGACGCTAGACTTGCGGGTTGGTCTGCGTCCACCATGTCGCTGGCCGCACGCATCACTCTTGCAAAATCTGTGCTTTCAGTCTTGCCAGCCTATACGATGCAGACGTCCTTTCTCCCTGCCAATGTCCGGGACTACATCGACAAGAAGATCCGGGCTTTTGTGTGGGGGAGCTCCGACCAGGGACGGAAAGTCCACCTGGTCGATTGGCAGACGGTTTGTAGACCCACGGAAGAGGGCGGGCTGGGACTCAGGGGGGCAACTAGGATGAACGAAGCTTTCATGCTGAAAATTCTGTGGCGGTTGATGACGAATCCGGACGAGCTCTGGGCGCGAGTCATTCTCGCCAAATATTGTCGGCGCACAAATGAGGGCATTTGTTTCAAGACCAGTGGGCGCCTATCTAATCTCTGGAGGGGTGTCTTGCGTATCCACCACCTGCTGGAACCTGCGTCGGCCTGGAATATCAGAAATGGCAGGGTGGCACGCTTCTGGAGGGACCGCTGTGTGGATGACTCCACCGTTCTCAAGGACTACGCTCCGGACCTCCCGCCGGAGTTGGAGGATGCTCCTGTGGCCGAATTCGTCCTTAACGGTGAGTGGAACGTACCGTTTCTTACTGCTTTCTTGCCGAGCTATGTTGTTTCGCAGGTACTACTTCACCCGGTGCCGGCGGACAGCGAACCTGATGTGCGCTACTGGAGACTGAGGCAGAACGGCAGGTTTTCGTTCAGTACGGCCTACGACGTGACGGACGATGCAGCAAGCCCTACCACGAGTCAACCCATTTGGCGGTCAATCTGGAGGACCCCTACGATGCAGAGGATTCGTGCTTTCCTCTGGCTGCTCAACCACAACCGCTTGCTGACCAATGCCGAAAGGGCCCATCGCCATCCTACAACGGACGTCAACTGCAAGATATGTGGCGGGGGCCCGGAGACTGCAATCCACATCGTGAGAGACTGCCCTTTCGCGCGAGCCACGTGGGCGGGGATCCTTGAAGATGAACCAGATGCCCATTTCTTTGAATCCGATATCCACAGGTGGTCAATGCATTATTTATCTGGTCGGAGTAAAGTCATTGATAGTATGCTTTTTGCAGGCACGTGCTGGCTGCTGTGGAAGAACCGGAATGATAACCTCTTTCGAAGTGAGTTGAAAACCCATGAGCATCTCCAGTTTTCCACCAAACAGCTAAGGCTTCGGATCGCAAAAGCATTTGAGAAGGAGAGCAGTTTGTTCGGAGCCGGGGGACTCCGAGAGTGGCGGGAAATTAACTGGCAACCACCGCCGAGTGGTTGGGCATGTGTCAACACTGACGGCTCAACCACCCACTCTCCTGCGAGTACGAGCTGCGGTGGCATCGTGAGGGGAGACGATGGCCGTTTTATCAGAGCATTCACAGCGAACCTAGGAGGGGGTTCGATCACTCGCGCCGAGCTGGCTGGGATTGCTTATGGGTTGAGATTCGCTTGGGAAGAGGGGATCAGGAAGGTTATTCTACAGACAGACTCCTGCACTGCTCGGACTTTGATCGAGAAAGCAACTCTGCAACATCCTCACTACTCTTGCGTGGCAGAGATCCGCCATTGGCTAGCTCGGCCTTGGCTTGTCAGGATTGAGCATGTCTACAGAGAAGCGAATTTCGTGGCTGGCCACCTCGCTTCCATTGGCCATTCTGTTCCCATTGGGGTTCACGGGATTCAAAGCCCAAGTAGTACCCTTCTGTACTGGTTGTATTATGATACTCTGGGGATTCAAACACCCCGCCTCGTTGTCTCTTAATATAGGTTAGGGCGCCTTTGAGCCCTGTTTCTCACCACACAAAAAAAATTGGTCTTCCAATAATTAGCTAAAATATGCATTAGTTTCACAAGCAGGAACTAACACATATAGCCAGGCTATAAAATGCATGACCAAATTTTTATTTTATTTTAAACTGCGGGTTAGAAAATTGAGGATTTTTAATTAAACCTAATCAATAGTACTATTTATTTGCATGTATATAATATTGATGAGCGTTAAATTTTTGTTAAGATTAAGATCCTTAATTCTGAATCTACTGGTATTGAACAAATATACATACACCACATGAACTGATTTAGGGTTTCTTTTTAGGGTGAGAAAATGGTTTACTTGAATTTTTTTTTAAGGTTATATGTATATTATGCCCCTCTACTTTGTAGTTTTTTCAAACATAACTCTCTACTATGAATCAGATCAAATATGCCCTTCTACCATTACACTCTTTTCACACTTACCCCTCGTCTATTTTTCCATCCCGTAGCCATTTAATCCGGACAAACTGACTTTTGGTCAACATGACTCATGAAAATTGCATGTTAATAGACAATTTTGTCGTGCTCTGATAAGAATTCCTCTATTAGTTATATGTACAAAATGCAGGTTGATGATCGATATACTGGGATGGAGGGCTTTCCGTATCAAGCTATTTGGAAGAACATTGTTCCCACAAAAATTTGTGGCTTCCTTTGGCTTGTATGGCACAAAAAGATCCTCACCATTGACAATCTTTAGAGGTGAGGTTTCGTGTTGGTAAATCGCTGCGAGCTGTGTCAAAAGGATGAAGAATCAATAAACCACATATTCTTAAACTGTCCGTTCGCTAGAAGCTTGCAGGAAGATTTGCTGGGTGGCGCCTCCAGATCAGTGTTTTCATCAACTGACATTTTCATAGTTATAAATAAGAATGACACAAGGGACCCGAATGGTTTGGAGGGATGGTTCAGACATTGTATCACTCATGCCTTTTACTGGTGTGTTTGGAAAGAAAGAAATCAAAGGATTTTTCAGCAAATTTCATGCCCGCAACAGGTGGTTTCTAAGAAGATTAGAAGAGCAATTGTCGAGTGGACTACAGCTCATGGCAAGTTAAGTATCGATCCGGGGAAGCTCCTTCTTCAGCACAATAGGATTGGTTGACTTCCCAGTCATTTTCTGTTCGTGGTTGTCCTTCCTTTTTAGGGGTTCTTTTTTCTTTTCCCCTACTTGTTTTCTCTATTTTGTGTTTCGGTTTTTTTTTCTCATCTTGTTTATCTCCCACTCCTTGTGGGAGGAACAACTTGGAACTTATTTTTATTAATCTAAGTTCATCACCATTATAAAAAATAGACAATTTTGCCCCCTTCTGTTCTAACCTTATCCTCCGAAAACATCTCTCAGGCCCCTACTAAACCGCTCCCCAGTTGTCTACCACCTGGTGTCTTCGGGGTTCGATTGCCGCTGGTAATACCACTTTGCTGTCAACTAACCGAGTGTATCTTTTGCAATTAAGCCGGTCATCATTTCCTCCCCTTCAGCGACCCCAATCGAATCTGACCATTGCTTCCCCTTAATATATTCATTATAGGGTTAGGGATAACACAGTAGAAAAGGATAGCTTACAAGAAGACGATTTTCAATTCAATTTGTCTTATTGCAGAGGTGATTAGGTGAACCCTTAAAGGAAGATTTTTTATTGGTGGATTCTCTTCCTTTCTAATTTTTTCGAACCAAGGATTGGGAATGTCCTCAATTTTCTTCGCACCAGCAACCAGGGAAACGAATGCTCGAGCGGTGACGACTTCAATCAAACTGAGGGTTGGAGAGGGGCGACTAGCGTTTGAGATTGTTGGAGGAATCCGCAATTTCGGAGAGGGTTTGAGGATCCACGACGGTGATGTGGGGTTGGCGGAGTCAAGGGAAACGATTGTGGTTACCGGATGGGAGGGAATCGGCGACCAGTGGTGGTGCCGGCGTCAATCGGGAAGGATCGAAGATTTTGGGGACGGAGGGGGCAAAGTAGTCTTTTACTTTTCTATTTTCCATCACATCAGGCTGAACAAGACTCGGTTGGTTGGGTTTTAACTTTTAACGGACTACGGATGGAAAAATAGATGGAGGGGTAAGTGTGAGAAGAGTGTAATAGTAGAAGGCTATATTTGATTTGATTTATAGTAGAGAGTTATGTTTGAGAAAACTACAAAATAGAAGGGCATAATATACATATAACCCTTTTTTTAATAATGAAGTTCTTTACTAGAAACATCAATTGGGTGGACAGATACATAGGACAAGCCCAAGGAAGAAAAATACCAGTAAAGAGAAAAGGGTCCAACAAACACAACCCACCAGATGAAATCGACTAGCCTGAGGAAGACTCAAGGAAAATCATATCTTGAGCCTCTCTATATGGAACAAACCCCTCACTGTCCCCCAAGCTCCCAAACTTCAAAACCACCTCACTGTCTCATTCCCGCCGGCGCAGCCTCTTTTGAAATTCACCGGCAGCTGCACGCGGCCTCCCAAGCTGAACGTGAACGTCCTCGTTGCGGCCGAAATAGAACCGCCGGATGATGACACCAAATTGGCAATCGGGTTGGTCGTGGCCGTGTTGTCCAGGTCGTAAGTGGTGGTCATCATCGCCCATTTGATCGCCGTCGGCAACCAATCCCGATCAACAGATCTCAACAGCGCAACTATCCCGCTGATGTGAGGAAAGGACATCTACGTCCCGAAGATGATGGTGAACAGAACGCGTCTCTTGTAGGTCTTCAGCTGGGTCGGGGAGGTTCTGCGTGGCTGGCGGTTTCCTTTCCTTTCTTCTTCGTTCTCGAGCGACGCAGTAGCAGAGGCGGCGACGGTGACTGGTGCACAGGTGCTGATAAAACTGTATAGTAAACAAACATATTTGACACAATTTAATAGAGGAGCATATTATAAATATAATCCATTACAAACGTCCTATAAGAGGAGTTATTTTTATTTCGTTCATGTGTCAACTGGTTTCCGACAATTACACGCAAAGAAGCTCATCCAATATTCGTAAAGACGGTAACTATAATTATAGTTCGAAATTACATACAATGATTATTATTCTCTCCGAGGGAAACTTGGGAAGGCGTATAGGTTATGGCTTGAAGCGATATTTGTCCATCGATTTCAAAATCATTGCATTCTCTTGTCTCGAGATCAAAGACAAGGATGCGTTCGCGACCATCTTCTTTCTTCCCGACAAAAAAAGATGTCAAATTGCCCGCTAATCCGTCGAGTTCCACAATGCGCATGGTAGGAGGTGGTTTAATGACAAATAACTTGATCCACGATTCCGATACCCAATGTTTCAACAGCATCCATATCTCCCAGGACGTGGTATATCCTGCACCACGGAATGGAAATTGAGCTATCATGGATTCCCCGTTGAACCAATATCCAAAAAATCCATGCCATCTTTCCGAAACACCTACCGGACAAGGCACATAAACTTCTTCGAAGGCTTCACTGCTAATATCGATCGAATAAAATCGTAAACCCTTCCTGTCCCGTTCCTGCCAATACAGTTTCCCTTTGTGATATTTGGGAGCTGGCGGCCAATAGGGAAGTCTTGGATAATAAGAGCCTTCTAATACCCTCCACGAACCCTTCCTTAAGCTATATACCTCCATCAGATAAGGAGGCATACTACTGCACTCACGTTCAACTTGTTTAAATACTTTATAGTCGTTCGTTTCTGAATCGAAACCAAACCCAACCGGCAGAAGATACGTATCATGAGGAGGACGGGAAGGGGGAGGGAGAACCTTGGTCTCCGAGGTTGTCGGGTTCCAAAGAATCAGACCGCCGCCACTGGAGTCGGCAGCTGATAGACAAAACAGACCATTACAGCATCCTACAACTTCTGTACGTCGGGAATCGTGATGATGAAGCTTCGTGGAGGGTAGCAACATGGTGGATATAGGAGGTCGGAGGAGGGGCTCCAGTGTGTCGGCAGAGTGCAAGCGGTAGCTATCCCTACGTTTTTCGTCGACGCCGGTAATCATAATTTGGTAATCATCATCAGAAGAAGAAGAGTCGGGTGATCGCAGCAGCTTATGTCGCCGAATCAAAGAGGTGCCCGAGAGGAGATCGCGCCACGATCTGCAAACGCAGCGGCACCGACCGACGCACGCACCGTCGGTAATCTTCGGCAGGATATGGGTCATAACGAGCTCCTCGGGAATTTCGGCGGCGAGGGCACTTTCTCTCTTTGAGTAGTTTCGCATCTTTTTCTTTCTTTCTTTCTTTGGTTTAGGGTTTACGAGAGTTACGGCGGCGATGATCGAGGCAATTTTATATATATAGCCGAGGTGGTCAGTAAAAGATGCGAGCGAAGGGATTGAAATCCTTCCCCGATATCTAAAAGGATAAATAGGTTTAATTTTACTAAGAGAAATTTTACAATACTATATAGTATTGGTGTTATTGGTTTTTGCATTTATGGTACAACTTAAAATTGTATATTTACGTTATGGTACAACTTCATATTGTACCTATATTTTTTGTACAAATTCTTTTATGGTACAACTTGAACTTGTACCTTTATGTGATGGTATAATTTTAAGTTGTAAAGTTGTACCATAACATAATGGTACAGATTGCTTTATGGTACAACCTAAACTTATACATTTAATGTTATGGTACAAATTTAAGTTGTACATTAAAGCACCAATGTTATATAGCATAGTAGAAGTGCTATTTTATTTATTGTATGACAAATCAACTCCCATTCAACTAGAGTATACTTTCTCATGGATGTTTGTGGTTCGAGTGTGGATTAAATCGAACGCTTTTTGCCATTTGCGGGTTGGGCAGGATATGAGTTTGGCCGATATTCAGCCCGTCCACCTAATCTATAGCCAGATTATTGAAATCATATGAGATGTTGGGCGGAACACATTAAATATATTATCTATATTGGATTTGAACTGTGTAGTTAGTGTTCAACATCAAGAGTATCCATCATTCATCACTCATCGGGCTTTTTTTATTTCTGAGTGATATCAATGAAAGAAAATAGTTAAGCTTACAATTCTACCCTAGGACCCCTAAAACACTTTAAAGAAGCCACCCCAAGAAATCAAAAGATTCTAGCTCTACAAGAGACAAAAGCAGTGCTTTACGCGCCACTCTATGGGCAGCACTGTTGGCGGATCTAGGTACCGCCCTAAACTCTATACAAACAGACTAAGAGCTAAGGATCTGCAAACACTCTCGAAGCACCGGACCACCAATCGAATCTTCTGAGACGCCTTGACGGACTTGGTTGACGACCACTTCAGAATCACCTTCGATTATCACATGGGTCAAGGATCTTGAGGCCACAAAGGAGATAGCATCCTTGAACGTTAGCAGCTCAGCCAAATAAGGGTTGACTATCCCTTGATGCTGCGACTCGATCGCCAACACCACATGCCCGTCTGACCCACGAAAAACGAGCCCAGACAAACACCCGAAGGCACTGACAGCTGCGTCGACGTTGATCTTTAAGAAGCCTTCAGGAGGAGGGACCCAAGTAGTGGCCAGGATGAGAGGGGGAAGAGAGCTGCGGGGAGGATGGGGGGGAAGGAGACTGGAGAATTTATTGATCCTTTCAACCTTCATTTTTTTTTCTTTTTCTTTTTTCAAGTAATGACAAGAGAAAAATAATCAGAAACCTCTAAACAATAATCCTCCCTGGAAACACTTAGTGAAGACACCATATAAAATGGAATGAAACTAACTCTAATGAGGACAGCAGCAAGGATATTCTTGCCACTCTATGGGTAGCCCAGTTGACAATTAAAAAAGAGGACAGCCCACTGAATCTTCAACACATCTACGAATCAGCTGACGGATGACCACTTCGGATTCTCCTTCATGTATGAAAGACATTTGCAAGTGAGGTCACATAATGGAAGGAAGAAATAAAAAATGTTTTTCAAATTGTTTTATAATCATAAATATTTTTATTTTATAATGTTCATTAAATTGATTTTGTTGATGATGTGGCTTCCATGTGTGCTTAACCGTTAGCCAGGTCAGCAAATTTAATAGAGAACTAACTGATGGTTATATTTGTCTAACAATCTACAACGTTTGGCTATTTTCTTGAAGTTTGCATAGATTAGCTATTTATATCCAAACTTTGAAATATTTGGCTATTTTAATATTGGGCATTTACCCTAAAATATATTATACACTTTCTCAAATTAGCCATCACCATTTCAATTGTTTTTTTTTTTTATTAAATGAGTAGTTACTCTTTATTAAAGTGACACTAATGGGTGTCAAGTAATGAGAAGGAAAGGAAAGTGGTACAGAGGAAGGAGAATTTCCGAAAGAGTTTGATATGACACCATTTCAATTGTTTAGATGCTAACAAAAAAAATTATCTATGAGATATGAAACAAATATTTTATTCGTTAATTGTTGTGAAACCCTTTTTTATTATAATTTAGTTTAATTTTTTATAATTTTTATTTTAATGATCAAAATCTCGTGAACAAAAAATTGGTTATATGAAATGATTTATTTGATCATCTTATGTGTTTTTCGTAACCAATTCATATGGCTCAAGATAGGGTATATAACCATGGGTTATGCACCCATCAATAATTAAATCTGGACCCTTCATTTAGAAAATCCAGAGCTAAGGATGGAGAACTAAAGGTCATTTTTATTTTCCTTAGCTTTCTTAATTGGCCCATATCTTCTTCGTTTTAACTCGGATTTTAATTTATTTTGCACAGATGGAACGAGTTCATTGTGCTCTACAAAATGAGATCCATTTTCAATATTTTTTTAGAAAAAATAAATTCTTGCCTCTCGGTACCAACTGCATACCATATGGTATCTTCTTCGTTTTTAATTCGTTTTTGAAAACGTTTGCACAGAAGGAACGAGTTCATCATGATCTATTGGATCTACAAATTTTTGGGTGAACAAATTACAGGACCAAAAAATACCACACAATACCACCTTGGTACGGGGTGGTATCTTGTGGTAGACAATGTTAAAAGTCGTAAATGACAGTTAATATACTTCTACTATCATGTATTCAACAATCTTATAGTCTTCCTACCAAAAAAAACAATCTTATAGTCTTGGTTTGTTCATACCACCATGGTACGCTTTTCAAACCATATGTATGCTCTTATTTCAATACTTGTCAATACTATATGGTATAGACAGGTAAAAAATGGCTCTATTTTTTTTGTTCGAAAATATATCAAAGTGGATATCATTTTGAAGGGCACAATTAAACTGATCTAGTTGTGCAAAAAAAAAAACTCGACTTAAAACGAGTGGGAAATCGGCCGTCAAAGATTAAGGAGGGGAAAATTAAAGACTTTCCAGAAGGAAGAGAGAGAGATAGAGAGGGACGTTGATGTCATGCTGATGTGTACGGGTTACTCACCATGAAGTTACTGACCTGATCCGCTTAAACTTGTATAACCAATAAAATTGGTCACCTAAGGTAATAGAATTGGTCGTATTTTTGACAACCAATTTTTAAGGTTGTATTAAGTTTGTAAAAACTAGAATAATAGGTTGCCAAAATGATTTAATTGGTCGATGTTTGATTTTTTCATGATCAAATCTAATGGTTGTGTTAAATTTATTTTAACAAAAATAATTTTCCATCTAAAATAATATCATTGGTCGGCATATATATTTTTCATGATCAAATTTCATGGTTGTGTTGAACTTTCATAACAAAAAAAATTGATTATCATAATGATATTATTAGTTGACATATGTTAATTTCTCGACCAAATTGAATGGTCACCTATAAAATATAAATGAATTATCCTTGTAGTGCCCATAAATATCTAGCTCAAATCATACCCTAGTTGAATCAGATCGAACACCCTAGGGTTAAGCTATCATAAAATAAATAAATAAATAAAATTTGAATTTAAAACTATTTATCCTTGTAGGAATCGGGGAAGTATAAGACCAACTCCAATGCAAGCCCCCAAATTTGGGGATCTTCATCCCCAAATTTGGGGTTCATCCCCATTTTCCCTTCTTTTGCTCCAATGCTACATTCTCTATATTTGGAGATCTCCATTTTTTAAGTTTTCCATTTACTTTAAAATGTACTTATCGAATATAATTTGTTCATGTTAATTTTTGTATAGTTCGTCATCATTTTTAAATACAAATTTTCCGGTAGAAATTTTTTTAATTTTGAGGCCAAATTTTTGTTGACAAAAAATTATTGACCTAATTTGGGTTTACACACAACACTTGAAAATTATTGATCTAATTAAACCCCTAACTAATCCCCTAATTAAACCTCAATTAACCCTTAAAATCTTAAAAAGAAAAAGAAACGCCACGTGGCGGGCTTTGGGGAGTCTCTATATTTGGGGGAACCCCCATTTCCACCCCCAAATTTGGGGATCCTTTTGGAGATCTCCCCCAAATTTAGAGACTCTTCCATTTATAGAGGCTCCATTGGAGCCAACTTTCCCCCAAATATAGAGGCTCCATTGGAGTTAGCCTAAGTATTTCAATCCCTTCTCTTCACATACTGACCACCACCTCGGTTATATTATTATATATATAAATTGCTAGCGCTGGAGTTGGCGGCCGTGGTTGTGTCGGTCTCAATTAGAATTGCAAATGAGCTGAGCTGCTCGCTAGCGGCTCGGCGTTCGACTCGAGAAAAGCTCGTTCGAAACTCTAAATTTTGTTCAGCTCGTGAAGCTCGCAAGCTAGCTCGACTCGGTGATTGTTGAGCTAACTCGTGAGCTGGCTCGTTTAGAGCTCATGATATGTCTCAACATGTGGCTAGAGAGTCAACTCGATTATCGACATATGGACAAATCAATCTATATCTTATGATTTTAATTCAAATGGTTGTTAAATTATACATCTCACCATATATAAAGTTTAACACGTTGAGTATGTGAGCAAATATATCTTATTTTCTACTTTAATAAGAAATTATGTATCATAGATTGCTTCGATACTATGAAATAACATTATTTGGAGTAGTTAAAATTATGAACTAAATGATATATAATACCAGCAAAGTATAATATGAGATTAGTTAACAAAATAAATCATATGTAACATGATATACAAAATGAAGTACCAAATAAAATGCAAGATTTTAGTAAACAAGCTAGCTCAAACTCGACTCGGCTCGTTAATAAATGAACTTAGCTCGAGCTTGACTCGTTTATTAACGAGCCGAGCTCAAACTGGGGTAAAACTCGACTCGACTCGGCTCATTTGCAGCCCTAGTCTCATTCATCACCGCATTAACTCTCGGAAACCCTAAACCAAAGAAAGAAAGAAAAAGATGCCAAACTAAAAAAAAAAAAACAAAGTGTCGCCGCCGAAATTCCTGAGGAGCTAATTGTGACTTAATACTTTATAGTCATTCGTGGCTCAAGATAGGGTGAGTAACCTTAGGGTGAGTAACAATGAGTAACCAAATCTGGACCCTTCTTTTAAGTGGCTGCAGATCTAAGGGTGGAGAATTAAAAGAATTTATTTTCCCTAGTTTTCTTAATTGGATATCTTCTTCATTCTAACTCGGATTTCAATTTCTTTTTTTTTTTGCACAGATGGAACGAGTTCGTTGTGCTCTACAAAATGATATTCATTTTCAATATTTTTTGAGAAAAAAAATTTCATCCCTCTCGTTACCAACTCCATACCATATGGTGCCTCCTTAGTTGTTTAGTCATTTTCGGAAATTTTTGAACAAAATGAATGATTTAATCATGATCTATTGGATTTCAAAATTTTCTGGGGGAAAAAATTCCATACCTCTCGTTACTAACTCCATACCATACTATACCACCCTGGTATGAGGTGGTATTTTTCATACCATATGGTATGCTGTTATTTAATACCAGTTAATACCATATGGTATTGACTGGTAATAACTTGCAAATTTTTTTTGTTCCAAAAAATATCAAAGTGGATATCATATTGAATCGTTACCAACTCCATATCATACTATACCACCCTGGTATGAGGTGGTATTTTTCATACCATATGGTATGCTGTTATTTACGGCTCGTTTGCTTGAGGGTTTTGTTGATGAATTTGGTCATGGAAATCTATCCATCATGGACTTTAACAGAAATCCATTGCTTGTCTTAGGGAATTAGGGAGATGGAATCTGTGGGTCCCGCCTCTTTTGGGGTTCCAAATCCGTGGGCCCCACGGACTTGGAAGTTCCACCTCTTGAGGTGGGATTTGGGTGATGGATTAAAATCCATGATAGTAAATTATTTTTCTACCCTTACTTATTACTTTAATTACAAAGTTTTCCTACTTTAATTCAATGGTCATGTAACTATAAACTTTTATAATGTCGTATTTTATATATACGAGAATCTATCATTTCGTTTTGCAATATCGTAGTTTATTTCAATATGAATGTATATGTGATTTGTTAGATTCAACTATAAACATCTTATGCTCATCTTGTGCATTATTATTTGATTGATTGTCGGATTCCAAAATCGGGGAGTTAGCAATAAGATGATGAGTTGTAGCAATAAAGCGAGCAATCGGTTGCAATTGATACATAATATTGCGTACATTGTTAGATGAGTTGTTAATTAGTGCCAAATTGTAATACATTTCTATATTTGTAGTTGAATTATTAGTCCACATAGTGGTAAAGCGTTTAAAATTTCATTGTATGCGTTGGATTTTTTTTACTGAAAATTTTGGATTATAATATAGAAATATAATTAGATAAGGGTAACAAGGTAATTTGTATTTCATATCCACAAATCTATTCAAACAAAATTCATAATCAAATCCAACAAGCAAACAATAGACTTGTTCAAATCCATAATGCCATCAAATCCATCATATATCTATGGTTTTCCAAAACCCAAGTTTTACCAAAACCCTCATTTTTCATATCCATGAAGCAAACGACCCGTTAATATCAAAGTGAATATCATTTTGAAAAGCACAATTAATCTAATCTAACTGTGCAAAAAAAAATTAAATTCCAAGTTAAAACGAGTGAGAAATCGTCCGTTAAAGATTAAGAGAAAGAAAATTAATGATTTTTCGATGAGAGAGAAGGAGGCGCTGATGTGGCAGATTCTTATTGGGTTATGCATGGGGTTACTCACCACAAGGAGATACCATATGGTAAAAAGTTGGTAACGAGAGGGATGGAAAAAAAATTCTCAAAAAATATTGAAAATGGATATCATTTTGTAGAGCACAACAAACTCGTTCCATTTGTGCAAAAAAAAAATCCGAGTTAGAATGAAGAAGATATGATCCAATTAAGAAAACTAGGGAAAATAAATTACTTTAATTCTCCACCCTTAGATATGCAACCACTTAAAAGAAGGGTCCAGATTTGGTTACTCACCCTATCTTGAGCCCTTGGAAATAGTTGATATGCCCGGTCCGCCAAGTGTTTCTGAAGGATGGCTAGGGTTTTCTGGATGTTGGTTCAACTAGGAATCCATGGTAGCTCAATTTCCGTTCTGCGGTACCGGAAGTAATTATACCACTTCTTGGGAGATATGGATGTTTTTGAAATGTTGGGTACCGGAATCCTGGATCAAGTTATTTGTCAGTACATCACCTCGTCCAGTGCGCAGTTTGAAATGCATCGGATCGGCAGGGAATTTGACGTCCTTTTTCACAAAGGAGCATGGAGATGGTCACGCAAGCATCGTTGTCTTTGATCTTGAAACGCAAGAATACAAGGGTTTTGAAATCCAAGGACGAAACCAGCTTCAAGCCATAACCTATATCCCTTCTCGAATTTCGCTTTTTAGAGATTAATCGTTGATATGCATATTTCGTAGTTATACGTACTGCCTCTGTGAAAATTGATTAATGAACTTCCTTGCATGTGATATTGTGTAAGAATCAATGCACATTGGCAACCAGTTCTTGCATGAACCAAATAAAAATGATTCGGTCTATTCTGAATTTTTTGAAATTATAATCCCACTCTAGCTAGTTCATTTTTATAACTATGTGTTGGTTACAGTGAAGTTTCGTGTGTAAATTAACTTTCGTTTTGGTGATAAAATAATCTGAGTATGAGCGATATAGTTATAGTGATAAAAATTTTCTTCTGAATTCGAATATTGTAAGCAGAATCTGATTATAAAAAACAAACATTTATCATCCTTATAAAAAATGAGAAGTTGATAGAGGAATAAATACTACGTATATTATTTTGTATAATGTTCTGAATGATTATATTAACATGATGCTAATATTACTAACCGATGTGAGCACTCTATACGCTGCGTTATTTCAGAACTATATAAATTTTTAGCCACACAGTCCTATGCCATAGCTTAGTCAGCATTCAAGTCAGCATGTGAGCCCCAAATTAACAGGGAGTTAGCGGACTACTAACTATTAGGTCTACGTTAGGAAAAGATTTAACAGTTAAGGGCTAAATTACAATTATTCCAGGGGCCACAATAGAAGAAAAAAAACATAGTTTAGGGGTCAAAATGATTGTCACTCATAGTTTATGGGCCAACCATAGTTATTTACCATCTGACTGTTTTTTTATTTTATTTTTTGTGTAATTACTTGTACGCATTCTGTGTTGTACACAGCCGAAACGTTTCACCATTACACTTGCTTGCTCATTTTATCTTACCTGCTTCTTCCTTCCTTCTAGAGACTGATAGATCAGAGAGCCTCCGGAGAAGGAAAGAGTAAGATTCCAGAATCCAGAGAGAAGAGAAGATGTCGTGCCTCGCTTGCATCCCCATGTGCTGCGCTTCCCTCACCTGCGGTCTCTGCTCGTCGGTGGCCTCCGGCATCTCCAAGAAATCGGCCCGGATCGCTTACTGCGCTCTCTTCGGCTTCTCCCTCGTCGTGTCCTGGGTTTTCCGTGAAGTTGGCGGCCCCCTCTTGGAGAAATTCCCCTGTTAGTTCCCCATCCCTCGTTCTACTTTTAACTCTGGGATTTACCCTTTCTTGTTCTTTTTTTTTTTTTTTGGGCTATTTCTTTAGATTAATGCGGTTCTCTAGTTTTGAGTCTCTAATTGGAGCTTCAATTGGATCGAAAGAAAGGGTTTTTTAATCCAGCTTCTGAAATTTCCTTGAGCTATGTTGATGTGCGATTGATTGGTAAATCAAGCTGAATTGGGTCTTGGTTTGGGAGTGTTTAAATCTTTTTTTTTTTTTTGTTTGATGTACAGGGATTAACTCGTCTGACGGGCAGTCGAAGGAATGGTTTCAAATACAAGCGGTGCTACGAGTGAGCCTAGGAAATTTCCTCTTTTTTGGGATTCTGGCTCTGATAATGATCGGGGTCAAGGACCAGAATGATAAACGTGATGCTGTGCATCACGGTGGATGGATGGCCAAGATGGTCGTCTGGCTTGTGCTCGAAGTGCTCATGTTCTTTGTTCCGAATATCGTCGTGACCATCTACGGTTAGTCTATTGCTTTTCGACTTTGATGGAGGCTTGAATTGCAGTCACTACATTTGCAGTCCCAACCCTTGAGTGGGTTTGAATTCTGATGACGACTTGAAAGATATTTGCAGGGGTTCTGTCGAAATTCGGAGCAGGGTTGTTTTTGTTGGTTCAAGTGATTATGCTACTGGATTTCACACACAGATGGAATGATGCGTGGGTTGAGAAAGATGAACAGAAATGGTAAGACCCCAAGTTTCTATGTCTAACTAGCTCCCTCCTTTGATCTTTGCTGTGTGAACCTATAATGTTGGAAATTTTGTGTTCCTAGGTATGTGGCTTTACTTGTTATATCGGTTGGATGCTACCTCGGGGCTTTTGGGCTATCTGGGATTCTATTCATATGGTTCAATCCATCCGGCAATGATTGTGGCCTCAATGTCTTCTTCATCATCATGACCATGGTTCTTGCATTCTCGTTTGCTGTGATTGCACTTCATCCCGCGGTAAAAAAAAAGGATATTCGATCAAAAGCTGTTCTCGAATCTCGCTTGATTGGCTAATTGCAATATGAATCTGGAAGTTATATCTATTTTCAATCTTTTTTTGACAGGTGAATGGAAGCCTTTTGCCGGCTTCAGTGATATCAATTTACTGTGCCTATGTCTGCTACACGGGTCTATCAAGCGAACCCCATGACTATGCTTGCAATGGACTCAACAAGTCGAAAGCAGTCTCCATAGGAACACTTGTTCTTGGAATGCTCACCACGGTACTTTCTGTGCTATACTCTGCTCTGCGTGCTGGGTCCTCAACAACTTTCTTCTCCCCATCTCCACCATCCTCACCCAGGGCATCAGCTGGAAGCAAACCTTTGCTTGGAGGAGATGACGATGTGGAAGAAGGGAAGGGGAAGGGGAAAGACGAAGCCGAGTCCCGCCCTGTTAGTTACTCCTACTCATTCTTCCACCTCATATTCGCACTTGCTAGCATGTACTCAGCCATGCTGCTTTCTGGCTGGACCAGCTCCACCGAGAGTGCGGATCTCATCGATGTTGGTTGGACATCCGTCTGGGTACGGATCTTCACCGAGTGGGTCACCGCTGGGCTCTACCTATGGACTCTTGCAGCCCCGTTGCTTTTCCCTGATAGAGAGTTCTATTGATTAGGTATATATATGCTGTTGATATCTTTGTTTGTGTCCTTAGTATTTGAAGCCAATGTAGGTATATACGGGATGTGAATGAACTCTCATGTTATAGGGTAGTAATGCTTTATGTGGTGTGATCATATAGGTGTAAAAAGAAGCATAAGAAACTCAAGCTAAGGCATAGCCTGGTATTAGTATGTCAATCTTGCTGTTATATGTGTTGTAGTTCGGTTTTGTGCTGCTGGCGAATGAATGGCATTAGTTGTTAACCGTATCTTCACCTGATTTTTCATACTGCCGGTGCCAAACAGGCCGGTCAGCCACAGGAAATAATGGGAAGTGGAATGGATTATGGTTCTAATAATCTTACAGTAGCATCATCAAATAAACTGAGAATAAGAGGGTACCTTCCAACAGCAGGATATATGATCAATCAAGGAGGATACCGACATTAGGTAGAAGGATTGGCCGAGAAGGTGGAGACGTTGGTAGCCAAATGACCAGAATCACCCGCCAACATAATCCGGATCGCAGAAGGTTGTCATGTCGATGAAGGTCTAGATTTCGGTGGAGCAAGAAGAAAGGAAAGAGTGAGGAAAATACCTTCCTTTATAAATGATGGCAAGAGGTTCATCCGTGTTTTGCAGGATCCGTCATGTCTATTTTATTAGAAGAGTAATGTTGTAACTATCCACGTTTCGGATGGCTTTCTAAAGATTCGTCTCATCGAAACTAAATTAGTACGTTTTTAGTTTGAAAATCTAGATTGAACTAGAATAAATTCTGTTCTAACTGGATTCAATTCAATTCAATTAAGTCGTGCAAGTTGATTATTTAACTCGTGAGTTTTGAGATTTAACTATTCAGTTATGTAGAAGAGATCAAACTGAAAAGATAATTTCTTATACCTGGGAAATAAGGAATGCATATAGTAGCAAACCCAATAACAAATGCAACAGGTAAGGCAGTTATTGATCCTAAATCGCATGGTTTGTTAATATAGTGCAAAACTGAAACCATCACAACAAGATCCGTTGTAGTCTAGTTGGTCAGGATATTCGGCTCTCACCCGAAAGACCTGGGTTCAAGTCCCGGCAACGGAAAATGTTATCTTTTTATTTCACTTTCCAACTCGAAACGACCATTTCTCCATTTTTTGGAAGACTCTTGAGTCTTGACTTCTCCAACTCAATCCAAACCCACTTCAAATAAATAAGCTCGACGCAATCCAAACCATTCTTCCCATCCCCATTGTCAACCCAAATTTACCCCGACGGTTGGATTGACCGCAGACAGATACACGGAGTTTTCTCGTTTCAGCAGAATTAAGTTTAAAACAAAATCGAAATCTCCAAGTCCCCCATTTCCCATTTCTTTTTCTTCGGATTCCCCACATAAAGATCGAAGCTTTCTCCCCAGCTGCATTCTTTCCCCCTTTTGTTCTGGGGGAGGCTAGTGCGTTTGAGGGAGAGGGAGAGGGAGTTGGTGGGGTTGTTTCAATCTGCCGGAGCGAGGGCGGGCGATATTCAGCCTGGCAAATCTAGGGGAATTGCGCCCTCGCTTGCCTTTGAAGCAACCCATTGCTGCAAACGCCGGCGATCTCGACGACAACACCCACTCTAGGCCTTGGCGTCGAAGGGTTTCGTCCTTCTTCTCCGCCTCTTTTTCTTCCATGGCTTCCTTCTCCTGGGCCTCTGCTCTCAGGATTACTGTCCTCCTCCTTCTCCTCGCCGCTGTGGTTGTCGCCTGCTTCACTCTCCCTGTTGAAAAGGTCCGTCCCCTTCCCCTTCCCTTTCCCTGATTTGTCTCAGGGTTTGAAGGGAATGCTGCTTTGTTAGCTGGGTTTGTGTATTGTTCTTTCGGGTGGTTTATTAATGGGGTATCTACTGATTGATTGCTGAGGAAGTTAAGGTTTTTGCTGTTCAATCCTGAGTATTAGCAAACTAGCTCATATTGCAATTGATGTTAAATCAGTGTTTGTGGTTGCTGCTAAGGTTAGATGATGCATTGTTCAAACCAAGCTCAAGGCTTTCGTAGCTTCAATCTATTGCTCTGCCACTTTGGATTCATTCTCTAGTGGATTGAGTACATGAAGGAACAGATCAGTTTATAGCATCGACCTCGCCCTTCATATGCACTTGCATCTATTGAGTCTTACTGGATAGCTTGCAATTCTGCTTTCGCTGACCAAACGAACTGTTCCATTGCAGATACTGAAGGACTTCTTGTTATGGGTTGAACATGATCTTGGGGCTTGGGGTCCCCTTGTGCTGTAAGTCAGTTGATCTTCTTTATGCTTTATTTGTTGCTTTCGTTCAGTTTTGTTTTTTGCTACATTGGTTTATTCTTCCCTTGTATTATTGGAGTAAATTTGTCCCACTTGATGGTTGGAGTTACCGTGTTCCTTATATTAATATTACTACAGGTCAATTTTCTTAGTTTAAATTGGTTGAGAAAATGCATCTATTTGTCTCTAGTTGGTTAACATGACAACTTCGGTATCATCATCCTTGTATCCACTGTGTACACCATCATGCAGATAGGAGTGGTTAACTCTTTTTGCACTAGGAGTGGTTAACTCTTTTTGTTTCTTCGGTTGCAGTTTAATTGTTAGCAACGTTACTGTTAAAGACTGTATTAGAAAGTGGATCCCATCTTTTTTAGTTTGAAATGCTTGGGAATGGAATTTTAATTTTTGGTAATCTTGGGAAAGGAATTTATGATTCAGATACTTGCAGGCTCTTTTACCTGTTAACTGACTGCTGGTTTTGGTATAAATGGTGTATGTTATAATGGCATGAAATTTGTTCTTTCCCTGTTAGCTGATGTTTTCTTCTATTTCCAGTGCTGTGGCATATATACCTTTGACGATCTTGGCAGTTCCTGCATCAGTGCTCACTGTAAGCATCCATATCACTCTTAGCCATGTATATCCAAACTTAGCTACAGGAAGGGGAAAAAATACCTATACCTCCTTCAGTTTCAACTGCCAAAGTCAAGATGATATTCGGAGTCAAGGGAACTAACTATACTGCTGAAGCTCCACTGACTCGCCATTTATTTTTCAGCTTGGAGGCGGATATCTTTTTGGTTTGCCTATTGGCTTTGTTGCCGATTCTATTGGTGCTACGATTGGTGCGTGTGCTGCATTTCTTCTCGGTAGAACTGTAAGTTCTCAGAACCTTGTAGTTTGCTGTTGTATTGAATGTCCTGTTGTTCTGTGCTTCTTATGTCCCAACATGAGCATAATCCATTAGTTTAGGATTTTACATGGTGTATTGGTTGATATTTAGTCGTGTATACATTGTATAAAAGGATTGAGACAGAAACATGACACGACTCCAGAGTATTCATTTGTCTCCATTTTCAGTTATTTTTATATAACTGTGGGTCTGACATTTTGTGCAAATGCCTGAACATAATTTGCTTCATTCTATTTCTTATGCAGCTTGGTAGATCTATGGTTGTTGCCAAGTTAAAGGACTATCCACAGTTCAGATCAGTTGCAATTGCTATTGAAAGATCTGGGTTCAAGGTTCTTGATTCTTTATCCAATGATTCTATAAAGATTCCATCTAACAAGCCTGTTTTTTGTGAAACCCATGGAATTTGTTTCCCTACTGCAGATTGTTCTGTTGCTTCGGCTAGTTCCGTTGCTCCCTTTTAACATGTTGAATTATCTGCTTTCGGTTACTCCTGTTTCTTTTATGGAGTACATGCTGGCTTCCTGGTTAGGAATGATGGTAAGTAATGCCTGCATTAGCATATACATATATCGGACAACTTTCATGTTGGCTTTCCGCTGCAACTGAACTTCTTATGTGTTTGCAGCCAATAACACTTGCATTAGTCTACGTTGGAACAACTCTCAAGGATCTTTCTGATGTAACGCATGGTTGGAGTGAATTCTCGCCAACTCGTTGGGTAAGCAAACCACTTCGATATTCTTATATCTTTTGCTATCAATTGCACTTTTATCTGCCTGTTTTGAGAGCCTAAAAACTTGGGAAATGAAATTATATATCCAATACCAGTTCCATGGTTTATGTGTAGAGTATGGCTCATGTTTGGACGAATGAAAAAAGCTTGGTAATCAAATTCCATTAGCCTGAAACTTGGTGAAATCACCAAATGTGTTAGGAACTGGGTTGAGAACTGAAATTAGTGGGTCCTACTACGATTTATAGCTATTATTATTTTATCTTTCCATTATCGTCTCTCTCAGTACACATGATTCACTTCGGCTTCTTATATGCAGGTGATGATCGTCGTAAGCCTAGTTGTTTCCGGTAAGTCCAGAGGCTACTACTACGACGACATGCAATCATGCTTTTTTACTTTCCGACAATGGACTTGCATGCATGAACTCTTGATCCAGCTTTTTTTTTTCCGTGTGCAGTGGTTCTAATATTCACAGTAACCAAAGTCGCCAAGTCCGCGCTGGACAAAGCTTTGGCTGAATGTGATGAAATAGATGGGTCATTGGCCTCGCCGGAGTTGCCAGTGTCAGTAGATCCTTCAAGTGATCTGAACCAGCCTCTGTTAATCAAGATAGACAGTGAAGATTACATCGAGAACAAACGAAACCAGTGATGTATTTGTAAATCCTTCCCTCTATGTCAAAAGCCAATTGCTTCCAGTTTGATAGTCAAGCAATTTGCTGCTCACCCGGTTCTGTACAGTCTGCACGTCGTGCCTGATCGACATTCAATCACCTGATAGTGTCTCTAAATCCAGACTCTTCTCAAATGCCAGCCATGAACATAGTTTTGAAAGCACTGTGTTTCGTTGATGTTGACAATGCCAATGCAACTTTGGGTGGAAAAAGATGGATCTCTTGGAAACTTAGTGTCGGCAGATAGAAGCAGCGAAATATCTTCTGGGTTACAGAGCTTTGGCTCCTTCCACTGACCTAACCAATTAACTTGTCAGACAAGCACTATATTATGTATTGATATTCAGAAGATGTTGTACCTTCCATTTGCAGGTTGTGGGGCACATTAATCAAAGATTGGTAGAAGACTTTTCTTCTTGTTGTGAAGTGGTCTTGAAACTTGGGAATCATGTGAGATACAGTGAGTTTCCAATGTTGATTAGATATGGAATGGGAACTTTGCAGGAAGCCCATGTTCTCCTGCATAATTCTTCTATGAGTGTGTTGCCCGCTGGTGGTGATAACCCTTCTTCATAATTGGCCACTCGCTTGTCTTCTTCAATCAAACAACTAAAATTGGAAAGGAAGCCTATAGATATAATTGGTGAGACTCTTGTTTTCATTCAAACAACTTGGGGGGGAATTGCTGTTTGGGCTGTCTTGTCCTGCATATTATTTATCAACCCCTCATGAAGCTACAAGAAGCCACGGGCTTGTAGGCCTAACAAGTCGTAATTTGATCCCACCTAGAAATTGAAAATTAAAAGCATAGATGAAGAGCAACTTTGTTGCCAAGAACTTCTTCGACTACTAACCAAAGGAGATTGATTATTCATCTATTTCTCACTTTTTTTTAATAGTCGGGACATCAAGGAGTATCCAAAAAGACATTAAGAGAATCAGTATGATTTTATCTCATGCTTGCTATAGACACACTTCTTTTTCTCCAATATTACTCTAGTGGAGACCATACTAAAGGTCACACAACAATGGTGGTTATAGTCACCGTTGGAAATCCAGGAAAGAAAATGTAAAAGGTGGTACAAGAAAAAGAAATATAAACCTACGAGTAAATCTAGAATCAAGAAAGATTCATAATTTCACGCTAAGTGAAGCAATCTCAAACAATACGATACCACTCACTGAGTTTGAAGTGGACTAAACAACGAGTCATTGGATGACTGTTTGAGAATCTAATTCAACAAAAAAAAGTGAAACGAAATGAACAAATACAAATAATCCATACCTACATTTCTACATTTTAAAATGCGTATTGACTAACTCTCTAATAACATAGCTGAAAGATCCAACATTGGCATTCAATTCGTTGAATAACAAGTTATCAAAAATTAATGAGTTAGTTCTAAAAAGAAGAAATCGGTGGAAACAAACAATCAAGCCAACACCCATAAAAATTGCACTTTAGAACAAACATTGGAGTAGTAGTGGGTGGGATTGAGGAGGGAAAGGCGTGTGGTTAGAGACTTGTAGAAGAGGGGATCAAAAAGTTAAATGGCCAATGATGAAAGGTGAAGGCAGAATCATTTCCACCTTCATCATGAACATGATTCATTTGGTGCTCCTTCTTTCACTTTCTAAACCATAAACAAGATGGAAAAAAAAATGCAGAACCCTAGCAAATTGGCAAAGCTCCTCCCTTCTTTTCCCCCATTTACCACCAAATCTGTTTTATGTCTACCTCTTGTCCTGAACTCATGAAGGGTCCTACAAATTCAAGGGCACTCTTCCATTTCAATGTTCCACCTTCCACCTCATTATTCCCCTTGCCTCCCACCATTTTCCTCCTTACCACAAATCAGGAACACCTTGGCCTACTTACATGATCTCCCAACTATGAAAACTAGCCAAAGCTCCAAACTTTTTCAAAACCCACTTAACCATATATCCACACACCCCAAACCCAAACCATCATTTGCTGAAACATAAGCCAAAAATATGCATTTTCCTCCAAAGCTAAGAGCCCCAAAACACATGCTCTCCCTCAAGGCACTCTGCATATTTCCCCTGCTGCGAGGCTGCCTGTTCGATGGGTGCAGGGATCACACACAAGGCTCGGGTTTCGGGACCAGAATCTGGAACCTGAGTGACCGGCCCATCGAGCTTCAGGTTCGAGTCGGGTCGATCCTGAAAAAGGTTCACACTTTGAAGCCAGGGTCTTCAAAGAGACTCAAGTGCAAGAGCATCTACAAGGCCTACATGCCAGGTGGCGGCGGCAGAGGTGGTCGTGGTGGCGGCGTTGGAGGTGACGGTGGTAGCGGAGGGACGAGGAACCTGCTGTATTACTATGATGAGACGTGCCAGCCATACATATGGGTTCATGACACAGGTGGGGATTTCACGAGGATGGTGAAGCAGCAGTACTTGAGCTTGGAGGATTTGAGGGAGTGTTGTGAGATTAGGGTTCTTAGGGATGATCAGCGTGGGTGCATTGCTGTTAGGAAGAAGCCTAGGCCTGATTTCTGCTGATAACGAATGATCGGATATGTGATTGGGAACTTGTCTGTGTATTTTTTTTTTTTTTTCTTTTTCTTTCTGATTGTTCTTGTTGTTGTAGTGGTAGACTAGTAATGATGTTTCTTTCTTTCTTGTGGTTCCTGTCTTGTTATTTTTAGTTGTGAGTTAAGGAGAAAACGATCTCTGTGTGTTTCTGTGAAGAACTGAGATTGATGAATCCGGTTTTCAATTTGCTTGATAGCGGTTGATTCCTTTGGAGGTCAAAGTCTGGCAAGGTTAGAAGAGAAGCAACAAATGATCAAATTGGTTTTGGAAACAACACAAAATCTGTTGTAGTCTAGTTGGTCAGGATGTTCGGCTCTCACCCGAAAGACCCAGGTTCAAGTCCCGGTAACGGAATTCTTTTTAACATTTTCTGGTCATTTGTAGGCTCTTCAGTCTTCATACGATTGATAGAAACAAGTAATGATGACATCGTTAGCGAAACTTCCTTGTGATAGTAAGAACTACTTGATTAAAATATAAATTTTGGCACTAATAACTAGAATTTTCTATTATTCGGATGATATTAGCATGTAAAATATAAATTTTGGCACTAATAACTAGAATTTTCTATTATTTGGATGATATTACTATTAGTGGATTTTCTATAATTTGTCATATGAAATTCATGTCTAAATTATGTTTTACAAAGTAAATAAATACATCGTGGCAAATAAATCTTCCCGTCGGAGCTAAACGAAGATTAAGTTGTTCTTTCTCTATCCTATTTGAATTCAAATTTTATTATCCCTTCTCTCTACTTGACTTCTTCTTTCTTTCTTCCAGGGGCGCCCTCTAGCACCTCCTGCTCCTGGTGACCGACGGTAACCCAAATATTCATTTTTTTAATTCCCTTCGTTCACCTACGTCTTGCCTTTGTGCTAGGTGCTCTCCACTTATAATTTTTTGTCTGGTTTTTCCTCTCAAATCAGTTTTTCAATTTCACCTCCAGTTGAGCTGATGCTCTTTGGGAATCTCATTTAATAGATGGGGTGGTTGTCTTCCCAGGTTTGATGGTTTCATCGACTTTCGGTGAACTCATTTTCTACTTTCCCCCTCCGACATTCACTGGCCATTTGTCTACTATTTGGTCTATCGTCGAATCATGGAGGGTAGCATATGGCATTGTTATGCTCAATCACCATGGACTTCGTTGTGCTTTGACGAGCTAATTTTTATCTTATTGCTACTATGTTTGATTTGGATGCAAGAGAGATTTTGGATGTTCTGCTTTTGGATTAAGTGTTCAAATCATGTGGGTAGTTGATCTCACTCTTTGCTTTGATCTTCTTCTATGACGTAATTTTCAACCGATAGTTCTAGGACGTTTTACGCGTGTTTGGATTCAGTTTGTTTCATTTCTTCCTCGAGACACACCTAAAAACTCACAAAACCAAAGCCGGAAAGGTCAAAGTCAATTCCTAGACAGACAAAAAAAAAGGAAAAAAAGGGGTCATTGCATTTCTTCAACTGCACACAAAGTCGCAAACTGCCCTGCCCTGACCCCTCTATCAGACAAACACTATCCCCACAGCTCCCTCAATCCATCCGTACAAATCTCAAATCTTTTTCTTTTGATCACTCTTCCTTTCTTCTTCGTCTTCTGCTGTGAATCCATCAAGATGAGAATTTCATGGAGCAACAGCAGAAGAAGGCACAACCACCACCAAACTTACTACCAACATCACCCGCATCACCTCCCGCCGCCGCCGCCTCAATACTTCCCCTCCGCGGAACCACCTCCCCCTCTGCCGCCGCATCAAGGCTACTACTCCACCTCTTCTGCAGGGAGCACAACCACCATAGTGGCAGATTCCGCGGCCACTCCACAATCCTCTTACGCGCCATCGCCGGCTCCCCCTCCTCATCTACCGCCAGTGCCGCCGATAAAGTCCTACTACACCTCAAACCCTTACAATTCCTGCGGCTATTCGGATCACATGGTGGGTAGGTACAATTACCAGCCCTACTATTATGGCAATTCAACCGGAGGATGGTTGTCTCCGCAGCAGCCTCATGCGGTGAGACCTAACGTGGATCCTTCGCACCGGATTCAGCCGGTGCCTTATGTTGAGCATCAGAATGCTAAGAAGGTTAGGAATGAGGTTAATGTGCATAAGGGGACTTTGAGGCTTGAATTGGATGAGCAGATGATAGAACCCGGGAATTTGGGTTCTATCTAGGGATTGAGAATAGAAGGGAACAACTAGGGATTGATCCTGTTGTTACTGGGAATGGAAGGAAAGAAGGGGTTTTGGGGCGATTGAGAAAGAAGAAGGAGGACGAGAGGAAAGGGCTGTGCGGCGGCCAAGGGAGAGGGAAGGGGAAGTTTCAGCAGAGAGGAAGAGAGAGAGAGAGAAAGTGATTAGGCAATAGGTTTAGATTTAAGTAGCACAATAGTTTAAGTACTAAAACACAATTACCTATAACTACCCCAACTTATTAATCCCCCAAATTATCCCAAACTAACTAATCAAGCCCACATAAACAAATCTTAACAATCAAATCCAAAACACAAAACTGAATAACTAAGTGTCTATCATTCTCTTTCCCTTCAAAGCAACCTTGCCCTCAAGGTTGTTAGTCTTCAACCTTGTCGTCCGTCCCACTCGCCTCATCCCCGGCTTCGTCCTCCCACCTTCCAACTAGCATCATCAAATCTGGGCGTGCACACTCCCATCGTGAACTGCTCGTTACAGTTAAAGCATTTACCTACTCGCCTCTTCTGCTCGATCTCTGCAGGGGAGAGCCGCACGAATCCCTTGGGCGGTGGCCGCATTCCACCTCTGGCTACAGCTATTAGCGCAGGTCCCATAGCGGGACCCCCACCACCCGGGCCTGTCCCCGGCGCGGTCCCTGTTGCGGTCCCTCCTCCCCCGCCGCTAGCTCCACCACTACTGCCCACCCCGCTTGGTCACTGGTAGCGACCTATGGTGGTCCTCCAACTAGCGAGCTCCTCCTCTTTGTACCCTGCAAGACGAAAGGCAGACTTCAAGGAGTTCGGTTCGAAGACCCGGACTGCAGCAACGATCTCGGGTTTCAACCCCGCCATGCACAGTCCCACCAACGTGTCCTCAGGCACCCCTCTGCATTGATTGCCCTGCTTGAAGAAATCCGCACGGTAATCCACGACCGTCCCGATCTGCTTCAATTTGGCCAGTTGCTCTGGAGCCCATCCCTCTGACTTCCCAAACTGGTAACGGAGCTCTTCCTGGAACATCGGCCATGTGATCAAAGTCTCTGCCGCCTCGTATGATCGATCCATCCACTCCCATCACTGTAATGCCTCACCTTGCAAGTAGAAGGACGCCAGATGCGCCTTCCGCTCCTCCGAGATAGGATGATTTTTGAATCATCGCTCCGCTGCATACAACCAAAGCTCTGCATCCTCCTGAACATTGAATTTTGGAAACTCAATGGTCGGGGGTTTAGCCCGAAAGACCATCCCATATGTTCCTTCATATGAGTAGTGATACGACCCATACTTGTCGAATCCCTGCTCTCCTCCCTGGTTGCTTGTGGAAACTGGAGCTCCCGTCCACGTCCATAGTCGTTTGCCGTGACCCGCGCGGGCTGCCCGGTCGCGCTCGTAGCCCCGTAGGGTCCCTTCCACCCATGCGGACCCATGCTTCATGTACCCGCCTGGTCCTGTTCGGACCGGTTTGGTCCATTTCGGGCCCGACCAGCATCTACCCGACCCGTTTAGGTCCACCTTGTGAAATCCCGACCTGACCCGGTTTGGCCTGTCTCGACCCGGCCAGGCTCGGTAGATCCCAAATTGACCCGGACCGGCCCAGTCCAGTCTGCGTCGATTTCGCCCAATCCGACCGACCTCGGTTCGGTCGGCCTCAGCTTGGTCCACCCCGCCTGGCCCGAGCCCCGGCCCGACCCCATCCACCCTGGCCCGGCACTATTCGGGAGGCCCAATCTAGGCCTTGGTTCGAACCCCAGTAGCCCTGCTCAAGGTCCGGTTCGGCCCAAAGCGCCTTTCCGCCCACCAAGCTGAGCTCGTCATCGTACTGATCGTGGTTCAGGCTTAGCCACCTTAGCCCGGTGGGCTCCCGCGTCTGGCCCACCATATCCCCGCAGCCCGCCAAGTCTGACGACCCATACTCTTGTTGGGTGGGCCCAACATCATAACCGGGCATCTTAACATTGCCCTTTCGGGCCGCCACCTCCTGGGCCGTCGACGTAGGCAAAAGCCCAGTCCCGCCACTCCGCCCTAGCGTGCCGTGGCCCGCGTGCTCCGATTCGGCAGCCCGGCCGCCAACATCGCCTGACAACGGCGCCGCCTCCACCTCCACCGCCGTCGGCGACAGAAGCACCGCCCGCGCCCTCCGCCGGTGGGGATCGTCGCCCGCCCTGCAGCGACACCAAGGTCGCCTGAACCTCCTCGACCGCCGCCAAACCCTCCTGGACTCCGCCATCCGCTCGCGTTTCTCCTCGAACCTCTCTTGGTGTTCATCCACGATCGCGGCCACAAGATGGTCTAGGGTGGCACAGGATCGCGTCATTCTCTGTCTCGTCTTCGAGCACCCCATCCACCTGCGAGGAGGATGCCGGTAGTGGCGGCCTTGCCTGGCGGCCTTGGGAGGCGGGTTGACTCCCGCGGTCGGCTCCGTATCGCCCCCAGTCTGCACAACGGCTGCTTCTGCGGCTTGTTTGGCCAAGGCGGCCTTCTCAGCAACGGTCATGGACTTGATGAGCACCATGGTGATGTCGCACGATATGCAGAAGTTGCAGGCTCTGATACCAAATGATAGAACCCGAGAATTTGGGTTCTATCTAGGGATTGAGAATAGAAGGGATTAACTAGGGATTGATCCTGTTGTTACTGGGAATGGAAGGAAAGAAGGGGTTTTGGGGCGATTGAGAAAGAAGAACGAGGAAGAGAGGAAAGGGCCGCGAGGCGGCCAAGGGAGAGGGAAGGGGAAGTTTTGGCAGAGAGGCAGAGAGGAAGAGAGAGAGAAAGTGATTAGGCAATAGGTTTAGGTTTAATCTTGCTTACCCATTTGTACGTAGTACGTAGCACAATCGTTTAAGTACTAAAACACAATTACCTATAACTACCCCAACTTATTAATCCCCAAATTATCCCAAACTAACTAATCAAGCCCACATAAACAAATCTTAACAATCAAATCCAAAACACAAAACCGAATAACTAAGTGTCTATCAGCAGAACCCGGATCATCACTTGATTTCTTTCATTTTTGATGCACTTGTTTATGGAAGGTAAGCGAATGTTTCTTTCAGCCCCTTGTTTTCTATTGTGCGGGTTTATTTGTAGGCGTTGGTTTTGGTGGAGAATGTTGCCTTACTATTGGGAGTCGTTTGGAAGTTGGGAGTCTATGAATATGTGTATTCTTACCATGTATGTATTCTAAGTGTAGTGATTGTAAGAAATAGATGATTGTAAGAATATATTGTTTGTTAGTTGTGATTCTCACTTTTAAAGAATATAAGGATTCTCACTTTAATGACCAAAAAAACTTATATAACCTTGAAGTTCTCTTTATATAGTCAATTAAAGAAAGGGCAAATATGAATTATATAAAAAAAAATAAGGATAAGAGGTGCAAAAAAACAATTACAAAAGTAAAGCAAGAGAATCTCACCTTTTTGTAGAGATTCTAAAATGAATGATTCTAGCCATTTGAGATTCTAAAGTACCAATCAAATGCATGCATTCTGAATAAGTTTATGTCAAAAAAACGATAGATTATAAAGAATACACACATTCACAAAATCACCATTTAGACTCCTAATTGGAACTGAAAGTGCAATTACCCCAATTGGAAAGTGCAATTACCCCAATTGGAAATGTATTAGAGCTATGTCACTGGATCATTTGTGAACCTCTTACTCTGTTTCCCTTTTCGCTTAGTAAGTGTGGTAACGGAGGTTGTTTTGCTTATCATAGGCATTCGTATACTAATTTAGTTCATGCTGGCAGCCGCTGAGGTTAGGTTTTATGTTAGCACTCTAAGCATTAAACGAATGGCCGATTATTTCCAGATGAAGGTGTGTTGGAATCTATGTGTGTTGAATTCAATACATAGGCATTAGCTACATTGAACGAAATGAGAATTTAAGAGAAGAACCTTGACATGACTTTGCAGGATCATGTTCCATCAAGCCAGTGTCAACTCTCTTGAAATTTTGGATGACTGTTCGCCTTCGTTAGTTTTTGTAAAGACATGAATTTTATGAAGGTTGTTGCACTACAACAAGTAGTAGTTGTGGAAACAACCTTTCCTAAACCCAACGCCAATTGGTCTTCCTAAATCCAACTATCCCCCCTTTCTTGTCTGAATCAATGGCAGCCTGCACAGGCGATCGAGATCGATTCCTCTATCCATTTCTTCCTCCTCCGTCTGATAATCTTACACACGGGCGATTGAGGGCAAAATTTTACGCCCAGAACTCCAAGAGTACACATTTGGCCAAGCAAATTAAGAAACCCTAGATTCTATTCGATGTACTCCGTAGCAGTGGGGAAGAAGGGACATGGACGGTGAGGTAGTTCCTTGGAATCGAATTGGGATCAGATATTTCAAGAGAAGCAAAGTGGTAAGGAGTCGGAGCGATTACTCAAACCTTTTCTCTCCCTGGTATTTTCCTTTCAATTTCTTCGTAGCTCTGGTTTCAATTTCTACTCCTTTTTTCGATTTCTTTTTCCAGGCTCGGTTTCTCACTCTTCAGACTCCATCCATGGATGTGCAATGTGCACTCCGATGACAGTGATGGCAAAATATGACTCTGGCTTTTTCCCGACACCTATCTTTTCTATTCTCCTTTCTTTCTCTCTTGAATAGATTGGTGGTATCCTGACATATGACTGATTTTTGCTTGCTTTCAACTATGTTTTGAATTTGATAAGAGCCAAAGATACTCTGTTGTCTCTTCGAGCGTGGCTTATGATTGACATGAAACTTGAATTGCAGGTCTGGAGGGCCTTGATTTTCTCTTTGTGGTAGTTAGTCATTAGGATACTTGGAGGATTGCAGCAAGGAGTCAAAAGGGAGTTGCCCTTCAATCGAAAAATGTTCCATCGGAAACCCTAGCTCATAGGTTATAACTAATGACATATCATTGTTGGAAGATTTTTGCACTGAATGCTTGATTAGCTGCTGCTGAGAGCATGAGCCACTATGTCAATTGATATTACTTAGGTGAAGCTCAACGATAATGGAAAGGGACAACTTTATTTTGGCATGTGTCTTTGATGACTACCAAAATTCAGTTCAACAGCTTGGAATATGAGATGAAGGTACTCTTTTCCCACAGCTTAAACTTCTCTCTGTTTGTATAATTTTTGGTGTAAAACTTCCATGCAAGATGAATGTGATTATGTCAAGTTAGGCAATAACCAATGAATTCATAAAGGGAAGAAGGGGGTAGAGTAGTAATATCAGCTGTGATGTTGCTGCTAACATGCCTAAGTTTGCAGATTGCTCGAAGAGATAGATCAAAATCCTTTTACATTTCTCCTCTTTTTTTCAATCTTCCATTTTACATTTTGCCTCATGGATGATTACTGAATTACCTCAAAATCTGGTGTGCTAGCCTTGATAGCGGAGAATGTGAATGGTCGTGCCATTTTTAGGGTACACAAGCTTTTGGATTCGAGTTTACTATTCCAAGGTAGAGACTTCACTCTTCAGTCTCATTACTACTAGTAATTTAAACTGATGTCCTCATAAGGAGTTCATGGTTTGTTCCCTCTACATGGTCATTCCATTGAGTTGATGCACTTCATTGCTTGCTTGCTATAAAAGGATTCCAGATTATCTCATAAAGGGATTTGCTCTCGGTAATCTGTTTTGGCGTTCTGATTTTCACAAACAGTCTTCAGAAGAACAACTCGGTAAGAGAGCAGCATGACCTCCAGTTGCTGCAGGGACGTTGGCTGGTGAGCTTCAAAGAATTACAAGTTATATGTAGTTTTGATAACCGGTTACTTTGAATTTAGAGCTGATATGAATTTGTCTCTTCAAGCACCACCAGTTTGTTATGAGGTTTTTAAATCTAAAGAATCATACTCTTACCTACTTTCTACTAAAAGAAAAAGAGTTATGCTCGAAGTTCAGCTTTAGTTGGCTTTGGACAACTTGGTTTTAGATTTATCTATTATTGTTTTGGTCAATGTGCAGCTTTAGGAAATTGATAGAGGAAGTAATCAACTTATATTATGTCATCAGCAGTGGCTCGGAAGCTCTAGAAAGTTTATATGTTTTGATTTTGCACAATATATCATTACATTTATTGGATCAATCTCATACTCTTCTCTGTTTAACTATGGTAGCGACGGTAATAAAAAAAAAACTATGGTAGCGACGAAGATTGATTTTGCAATACACAAATGGAAGCCATATTTAGTAATTAGCTTACTTTCACACTTTTATATCTTTTATATTAGGATCACTTGCAAGAATGCGTTCGATGAGTTGTCATTGTTCACTGAAGTTGCATATCTAAAGCACCAACAAAGTGAAAATATTTTATTGGAGACTGTTCAGTTGTCTTATGATAGAATGTGTGAACATCTAAGTTGGACTATGCAACCACCTACATATAGAATGTCAAATATTCCCGCCACGGAGTGCGGGTCAGATAGCTAGTAAGTATAGAAGAAGCTTTAGAACTAAACCATATCAGTGTTTTAACTGCCCAGGTAGAGTCCCTGAACTTATTCCAAAGATCTCAAGTGGAGGTGATGGATGATGGGATCAAGTATAGGGGTTACCTTGTGTTTTCCCCTTTGTTCTGCCTTACTCTTTTTGGGTTTCCTGTTGTGTTCAGGGTGATGTTTTGGTATATCTCTGTTCCATTCTTATGACTAGAAATCTCATGATGTCAAAAGAAATTCTTTGTGATGTTGGTGTGAATACCTGAGCCTGCAGATTCAGAAGCAAGAAAAAGAAAGGTGGTGTAGCATTGGAAGCAACTAGAGTCTACAGCCATAGCTTCTGATTTCCTTCTTTTTTTCTCTTTGAGAAAACATCCAAAAAGAGCTACATGGATGGAATATTTCCCATCCAAGTTTAGAATTGAAGGAGACAAAACCTGGGAATCTTCAATATTTGTGTGCAACTTTATATTGAAATGCATTGCTTTCTTTTTTATCCTTCCAACTATATTTACCAAAAGTTGTGTGCAATTGATACTCATTAGGATGCTTGCATCTGAAGCATGTTGAATGGCTTATCTGCTTTATCTTTGATTCCAGGGCAGTGTGCTCACATTTCAATATCCTGCTTTGCTGATCTGTTCACATTCCTCTTTGCATCTCACCTCATGGCTACTGAATCTCTCTCTCTCTAGGGAACCTATGACTACCCATTCCAGTCGCCAGCCAGTTCTCGTTCGGAGCGCCCGGAACAATGCTCGATCGATGATGAGTCTCTCGAACACCGGCGAACATGACGTTGAGGGAAAGAAAATATCTGAACCAACTGTGGAATCTAGGCAAGGGAAGAGGAGCACTGTAATAGGTAACCAATATGGAACGGTGTGGGAAAGTTGTTTGCTTTTCCATGTTTTTCACCGTACCATTTTTCCCACCACCACCACCACCAATGGTCCACCATTCTTTTGTTACTTTCTTCGAGTGAGGAAAGATCCAAAGTGAGGTAGAAATGGGAACAAAAATAATTGAGTAGTGTGCAGAAGTAAAGGGACCCTCTCTCTCTCTCTGTCTCTCTTTCTCTCTCACTTCAGCAGCAGCAGCAGCAGGTAAGGGAATGCATGTCTTTCTTTTGTATAATGAAGCAGCAGAACAGAACAGCCATGGATGGACGCGGATGTATCGCGTCCAGATTTCTAGGGAAACAAACAGAAAACAAGACAAAAGCGCACATAAATCAGGGCTAGCTGGGGACTGGAAGCAAGGATGGACCAGGAAGATGACAATGGCAAAGTTGGCCTAGATTTCAGCAGCTACAAAGTTCTCTCGTCATATTGTCACGTTACATAACACCCTTCACCATTCACCTTTTTAACAGGGAGGAGGACCATTCACCATCTCCATCTGCACCTCCTTCATTGATCAGCATTCAGTAGTAGAAAGAAAAGACACCAACTTTGTTGTTTCCTAAAATTGTTGTTTACTGTTGTTTGTTATTATGAGCTTCCATCATCCATTGCTGTCCACACATCACATGTGAATCCTGTTAAGAACATGAAATGGCATATTTCGCCTCTCCTCTTCTTCACCCTCTCCCTCTCCCTCTCCAATCAGACTATTCCTGACAAAAGTTGTTTCAACAAAATCCCACAAATGTCAAATGGGTTCTGTGGCCTTTTCACCTCCCTCCTTTCCCATCTCCACCAACTACCTCCCCTAGATGATCAAGGCATCATGTCATGCCGACACCGTTGGATCGATCGTATCGTTGAACGGTGAAAGCATTATTACAAGGAAAACGAAATTATTCAACCATGCCAGCTCGTATTAATCCTTATTCATCAACATGACAATCAAACGGCAAGTAAAAGAGGAAAAAGGGAGCGAAATGTGGCATCTTCCTTCCGAATGCCAATTTCTATCATTACCAAAATAGTACGGTTGAACCATTTTCAAATAAAACGCGTTTGAAGCGAAAGTGAAGTTTCAAAGAAATTTAATCATTTTCTCTTTGCCGAAACTAATGAAGCAAAGTTGTTCCTTGCAAGTGTCCCCTTAGCACCGATATGGAATGAAAGCTCCCAAACGAAAGTTGTAAGACTCTTCCCCATTTATGTAATCCTTTGCCACAACTAATGAGGCCAAGAAGTTGTTTATTGGGGGCAAAGTGTCCTATTAGCATGGATTAGGTCACGTAACCCATATGGGTTTAGTTCACTTAAGTCACCCTTCCATCGAGTTGCTTTCCAAAGGCTAAAAGAAAGAAACAAGAGGAGCAAAATGAGGAGGGAAAAGAAAGGGGCAATTGTCCTCTTAGGGCTCCTCTCTCTCTTTTTTCTCATACATGTTGATTTGCGTAGAAAACAATCCATGTAGCACGAGGAAAAGGAAAGAGTACATCTAGGAGCTTTGTTTTGGTGATATTGTTGTACCTTATGTCTTCCATCTTGTATCACATCTTTGAATTTGAGAATTGAGCATTCCTCTGATGGATGACTGCTCTTTCTTTCTTCCCCTTTTGGTCTAAATTTGTTTCTAAAAGCTACTTCTCTCTTCGTCCTAAGAGAAGAATCTCAGTTATCCACCAACTGTCATTTATTATATAGTACCAGTTTTAGTTGAAACAATTGGTTAGTCGAATTTAATACAAAGAGGTCACCCAGTTTGGAATTAGGGCTGGCTATTTGGTCCCGAACTGTTTGGATTTACCCGAAATCGGACCGTATAACTCGGATCGGGACCAGACTGGGACCGGATAGCAAACAATGCAATCTCATATTTGGGCTTAGATTTGAGGTATAAAAACCGGATAAAGACCGGATAAGAGAACACCTAAAATCAAGATAAAATTGGGACCGGACCGAATCAAGACCGGACTGTATCCAATCCAATCTTTGGTCCTTATATTCCCGAAAAGATCGGACTGGGACCGAATCAATTTGGTTCAATTTAACCGGACCGAACCGTATAGCTACCCTATTTGGAATAGCTTACATGAAATAGTACTAGAACTGTGACTTGGGTCATAACTATCTTTCAACCAAGTTCATTCTCCAAGTCTCATGACTGTATCATATATATGTGTAGCTTTATAGACTTTGGCCTTCCCACATGCAAAAATGGTCCCTCTACATTCCCACCATCAATCGAAAGTACAGTGATGAACTTGCAAATTTTCCACCAGAAATGGAAACAAACAAAGCACAAGGGGGAAAAAGAGAGAGAGGAGAGAATACATATTGAATTTTTTGTAACAGCGAAATAAAGCAGGTTTGATTTTGTTGTTTGTGGGATAGAATTATTATTAGAACGTAGTGTGTTTTCAATTTTCATGCCGTGGATTTATACGTCAAACCAATTGTTTATACAACTTATTTATTCGAGTATTTATATAATGTGGTTAGCATATGTACATAAAAGATTCAAAGTATTTGATGTAAATAATAGAACAGTGTTATGTGAATATCATAACTTTATCTTGAACAACATTTAAAAGCTATCATATCGATCTTTTTAGATTGGAAAATTTATTCAAAACAAGGTTTGTTTACAAAAATTTCAAAAAAAAAAATGTTTACTAACTGTAAAATGAAATAAAAAATGGATACAAAAATGTCATTAGATTTTGGGTGTTATCTCCCTATCAAAATTTCATCAATCATGGATCAGTTAGGAAAAAAAGGTGTTTGTAACAGTCACATCCCAAGAGGAAATTATAAATAGGGGTGTTCAAATGGTTACCATGGTTATTACCAAATCAAATAAGGCTAAATTTCATTAACCATGGAATACAATATAATAACCAAACCGTTCAAACTAATACAACAACCAAATTAACCAAACTAAAATTTAATCAGTTTGGTTAATTGGTTAACCAAATTAACCAATATAAAATCACATTATCATTAGGTGAGAAAAAATTCGGTTAATTTATCGATTTATAATTTATATAATGAATAAAACATAACAATCAACACATAGTTATAGTTGACCCTTAACATAAATACAAGTAACTAAGACAATTATCTTACGGTTAGTATAGAAGTATTCACCTAACAAAAATTTATCACAATGGTATGGGTTAATGAATTGTTGTGTTTGTTTGAATTGACTTAGCCTTTTAGCATTTTTCATAGGTTGAAAATGACATTGCTTTCAAGTTTTCATCCAACACAATGTATGAGATTTATCTAAATTAGGCGTTCATATGTTGTGGTCTACACTCTTGACTCTACATATACAAATATACATTATAGGAACAATATAAAGATTTATATTTTATGAGTCTAAACCGGATGAACGTTTAACTCTTGAGTGGTTATTCAAAGTATTAATTATGTGTATATATTAGATATATGGCTAATTATTTATCTGGTTAATTTGGTTTGGCTGGTTAGGAGTGTCTGAAACCAAACCACTAAACCAAACAAGCTAAAAACTTTAATCAAACCAAACTAATTATCCAAATTAACCAAACCAAATTATCCAAATAGTAATGATTAAAACGGTTATCATAGTAACCACACGTTTAAACACCCCTAACTAGCTATAACGCCTCACATGATTCAAATCACTAACAAACCAAGCTCATAACTATTAAGTTCCCTAACCTAAAGACTCCAATCTTCGAGTAAGAACTCCAACATGTTCATTCCCATTATAAGTAACCTCATTCAAACTTAAGAACTCCAACATGTTCATTCCCATCATAAGTAACCTCATTCGAACTTTGAAAAAAAAAAAGATGAAGAACAATTTATCATCTCCAAATTTTAGACTTACCTCATTTGATTAAACATCGACCACACATTTACATCGTAGTAAACCTTCCAGATCTTTATGAAGCAAACTCTTTTTTATTATTGTCCTAACCCTATGGACCATGAAGAACTAAACAACTAACCCACCCATGGACTATGACCATTTTATAGTCTTAGAAATTCTCTCGTACAAATTGTTTTCAGTTTTTGGTACTCGTGGTTCTTCATTTCTGGTTGGAGATGCATGTTCTTGTTGGCCAAACCCACGTCGAGATGTTTGTGGAGAAGAAGGACAAACCAATGGCACCATAATAATTTCTTATAAATATATATATATATATATATTTTTTTTTTTGGGAAGCACTATTCATAGTAAAAAGAACAAATTATCCTTTTGGACAGAATACGAAAATTTCGGAAGATATTGGGATGAATAGACCCATCACTTCCATCAGCTAAACTTCAAAACAAATTTGGCTCTCACTATCACAGAAAATAACAATAATAGTTATGAAAGACTAATTTCCGTACCTAATCAACTACAACACACAAAAATAAAAAAGGCAAGGGTGTTTGCGGTTTCATGGACACACTGTCCATTGATTCCCTCTGTTTCTTTTGGCATTCTTCAATTGCTCCAAATCCCCATTTTATTGTTTTATTAATATTAGTATTAGTTAATATTAATATCTTGGTTGATATTATAATTGTTTTTAGTCAGTCAAAGTGGTGAAGATACTAATAATACATGCTGACTTATAACATATACATGAATCCTAGTTTGACAATTATATTCTCTTCTTTGAATTGTGAAAACCTGGCCCAATTTGGTTGTCATAATTACTTATAAATGCAAACTCTTTCAAAAGTTATTGCCTTTTTTGGCGAAAATCAAATAAATATAAACAAAAAGAATACGTAAAAATGAGTGACTAGAGCGAATCATTACCGATTAACACTTGGAAGAGAGACTTAAATTGGCGATTCGTCCAACTTATGACACCATCAGAACATGATCAGATTAACGCGCATTCCAATCGATTTTGTAATCGGAATCGACAAGTAACATAATCGCGATCGACAATTCAAGTTATCCAACTCAAACAACAAACTCCCGCCCCAACCGACTAAATCGACACCATCTTGTAATCATTGCCATAAGCCTCTGTGTTTTTTTACTTTGAAAGGTGCTTGTCATGAGTCATAACACAACTTCACCAAGAAGAGTGAACTTATCTTCTCTTCTCAGTAGTCTTTCTCCTTCATGGGCAAGGTGATGATAACTTGGCAACTAATCCAGAAGTGGAAAGGGCAAAAGTAAGGTACTGGAGACTGGAGAGGAACCAAATTGTACCAGTAGTCTAGTACAGCTTCAGCCTTCATTCATACAAGGGAAGCAGCAAACGCGTAAGAAAAAAGGAGGGAAACAAACAAAGCCTTCCATATTTTTTTACCGCGAACCAGAAAGAGAGGGAAAGGAACGGAGTGGTGTGAGTAATAAGTAATAGTAAATGATGGTGGTTAAAGTAAACGAAAAGCACCCAATTTGGGGTTTCTTCATCCTCAATGTCTTACAAATTCTACCAAATTCGAAAAATAGACTGGTTTACAGGTTAAGTGATTGAAAAACAGTTTAACTCGTATTAAACTACAGTTTTATTACAGAATATTCTTACACTAATTTTTTCGATACAACTTCGATTTGAGATAATTATGACTTGGGGAGGAAGAGTCATCTTTCGTAGGATGGTCAAGCTGCAAGGATGAGGTAAGGAGAGAGAGCAGTTAAGAGCCCAGCCAAATTGGGTTTCAGAGATGTCACATGGATTGAGTTTTGGATTTTACTGGCAATGGGTTAGAAGCTGGGAGCTCTGGAGAGAGAAGAGAGAAGAGGAAAGCAGTAATTTTTAGTAAAGTAGTATGGGAGTTAGAAAATCTAATATAATTAGAATTTTTTTGAAAATAATAGTGGGGAGGGAGGGAGGGAGAGTAACCAGTAAGTAGCCTAGTTCTGGTAGTAGCAGCAGCAGCAGTAGTGGTGGGTACTAATAAATAACACTAAAACCATCAAAGCTTTCTTTGCCATTGCTTCTCCCTCTGGAAACAAAGGAAGAAAATTGAGAATTGGGTTAGTGAGAGAGAAGGAAGAAGAAGCAAAAGCCCTTTCCTTTCTCTCTTTTGTTTTTGTTGGTTTTTTGCAGCAGCATCATCATCAATCCCATTCCATCCCACAACACCATTAAACCACACTCAGGCTCTCTCTCTCTCTCTTCCTTCACTCTGCTTCTTCCATACCCTGTCTGCTTCTCTTTCCTTCTTTAACCCTGAAATAGAGGAAGCAAGAGAAGAAAGTTTTTAATGTGCACCCACCTCTCTGCTCCACCTTCTTCTTCCTCTCTCCCCTTCTTCCTCCTCCTTCCTGTTCTTCTTGTGCATTCTGACTGACTCCCTTCCACCATCCTTATCTCTCTCCCTCTCTCCTCATTTTGCTCTCTGGGTCCTTGTTTCCATTGCTATACACAATCACATAACAGAGCCAGTTGACAGAGCACATCACCAGGCAAACCCACCATTTCTGTAGCTTTGGTTCTAGTTCCTTTTTCAATCCCTTTTTTCTTCTGTCAAACAGATCTAATTTTACCCATAACGCACCCCATTTACCCATACCCATAACTGGAAGCTTCTTTCTGAGACAACACAACAACTGGGGAGCTATGAGTAAAGAAGAGTTCTTAAAGATCCAGGTAACGACACTCTTCTCTTTTTTATTTTTGTTTGTGCTAGCTTTTGCAGCTTCCCGAAGCTTACTTTGCTTCATTTGAACTCAAAGCTTACATCTTTACACTACTCTGTTTTCGCCCCCCCCCCTTTTTCTTCCTTCCCTCATTTGTCTGTTTTGAGAGAAGGGTTGTTATCTGTCTCTTTTTCACTCTGTCATTTTGTTTCTTCCTTTCGCCAACATGCAGACCTGCGTTCTCAAAGTTAACATACACTGCGATGGCTGCAAGCACAAGGTCAAGAAAATCTTGCAGAAGATTGATGGTAAAAAGGGAAAAAAAGAAAACTCAATCCCACCTTCCAACTTTCATGAGATCTGCTCTGTTTTCTTCGGGACTCTGTTTTACTCTGTTTTTTTCCAGCTTAATCGTTACATCCTTATATCTCTGACTGATTTTTACCTTGTGAATTGGATTTTTTTCTTTTTTACTAGGGGTGTTCAAAACCCATATAGATTCAGAGCAGGGGAAAGTGACGGTTTCAGGAAACGTCGACCCTGCTGTCCTGATCAAGAAGCTCAACAAAGCAGGGAAACATGCTGAGCTCTGGGGCGCCCAAAAGCCCAACGGCAACAATAACAACAATCACAATCTCAATCAACTGGCCAATCAATTGAAGAACATGCAAATTGAGCACGGCAAAGGCGGCGGCGGCCCGAATAACGGCAAAGGTGGCGGCGGCGGCCAGAAGGGCGGCGGGGGACACCCTGCCGGTCATAACAATAACCCCCAGAACCATCTCAAAGGAGGCGGTGGCGGTGGGCATCAGCTGAACCCACAACAGCTACAGCAGATGCAACAAATCCAGCAGATGCAGCAACTGCAGCAGATGAAGGGGTTGCAAGATCTGAAACTTCCCCAAGGCATGAAAATGCCGCAGCAGCCGAATCAGCCGCAGAAGATGCTTCCCCACCTTCAGCAGCAGAATCAGAAGTCGGTCAAGTTCGCCGCCGCTGAAGATGACGAGTTCAGTGACGACGATTACGACGACGACGAATTTGATGACGAGGATGATTACGATGATGACGAATTTGATGACGAGATGGACGCCGTTCCTCCCAGTAAGCCCAAGCCGATGATGGGAAATGGTCACCCCGGCATGATGATGAACGCCGGCGGCGGCGGTGGAATGTTTCCGCCTCATATAGCTGCCGCTGCTTCCGCCGCGAAGAAGGGCGGTGGAGACGGACCGGTTCCCGTTCATTTCAACAACGGCGGTGGAAAGAAAGGCGGTGGAGGAGGGAATCCGAGTCACAATCCGAATCAAAACGGTAAAGGCGGCGGCGGCGGCGGTGGAGGTAAGCCACAAGACGGGAAAAATGGCGGCCACGGTGGAGGTGGCGGTGGAAAGAACGGTCACAACGGCAATAATGGCGGTGGCGGCAACGGTAATAACATGAACATGGCCGGGGGCAAGAAGGGAAATAACGGTGGCGGTGGTGGAGCGAGCAGTAATGAAGGCTTCAGGAGCGTGGGTGGACCCCACGGCGGTATGGGTATGGGCCCAATGGGCGGCGGAATGAACGGCTTGCCGATGGGCCATCATCAAGCTCCAATGGGCCAAATGCCCAATAACATGGCGGCGGCAGCAGCGGTCCAAGGCCTACCGATGAACGGCGGGGGTGGAGGCGGCGGCCCCCCGGTCGGTTACTTCCCCGGATCCGGCCCGGATGGAATGCCCGGAAACCCATCTCTCCAGCAACAGCAGTACATGGCGGCGATGATGAACCAGCAGAGAGCAGCCGCGGCAATAGCTGCCGGCGGTGGCGGCGGCGACCAGAGGTTCCAGCCGATGATGTACGCCAGACCCCCACCGGCGGTGAACTACATGCCTCCGTACCCGTACCCATACCCGCATCCCCACGCTACCGACCCGTATACGAATTACTTCAGCGACGAGAACACCTCGAGTTGCAACGTCATGTGAGGACGAAGACAAGCCCCGGGTCGGGTCCGGATTGTTGAGCTGCCCGCCGGCCGTTTAGCTTGCTTAGCTTTTGTTGCGGTGGAGGAAAATTGGGGAAGTTTGATATACGACAAACAACATCGAAATGGGTCTTCTTTATTTCTTCTTAATTTAAATTTTCATCCAATGTTTATTTTTAGTTTATTTTTCAACTTTGATATATTTATTTTGGTTTTTTTTTTTTTTTACTTTTGAATGAAGGGAGTCCAAATTAAGGTGAACTTAGGGAGTGGGAGGGGAAGGAAGGAAGGATTAGTAGTGTAGTATTAGTAGTGGGGGGACTCTCTTTTTTGTTATGGAGGATGATAATGATGTTTATATGTGTTTATATGTTGCAAAACCAAAAATAAAGATTTAAACACCTAAACAAAGGGAAAACAGAGAATGTGGGTTTTGAAAGCAAGAAAGATAGGAAAGACAAACCCCACACTCTCTTCTTCTCTTTTGCCTTATTTATCTCCTTGATTTGCTCTTTTCTTTGCCTTCTTCCTTTTTCTCTTTATGCTTTAGCCTGATGGGAAATAATCAAAGCAAGGAAACTTCAGATTTGGGTTTTTGCCAATTTACCGATAGCTCGAACTCAACTCGGTGCGATTGCAAGGTCGTTGTCATAGTTCACTAGTCTAGAAGTTGTTAAATTCAATTCAATTTTGTTTAGGTTATGGATTCCTCATTTTCAAGATAATCTATAATTAGATGATGAATTTGTTTTGGTGGAAATAATTATGTGACAAATAATGCAATCGAAATATTTGACAATCCACAATGAAATGAATGAAAGAGGCTCTAATTATAATTAATTGGTTTGGGATGTGGGTATGATGACACGCGCTGTGGAGGTGGGACCCAAAGTTCAGAATGGTAATAAAATGGAGTGGGAAGGGAAGGAAGAGAATTGGAGGGAGGACCCACTAAAAATGACCACTAGTAGAATTATTAATTAAAACTAAATAATAAAAATGGGGAAGGGAAAGGTGGGGTTGGGGTTGGGTAGGGTGCATAATAATTGGGGGTTTTAGCAAATTTGCCAGAGCCTTCACATGCCTTCCCCCTCACTTTCTCCCCGAAACACCTAATTTGCCCTTATCAGACTCCCAAATTTGCAGAAATGCCCCTTCATATGCAATTTAACGCCATTACGTCAATGTACATGAGTTTTGAGTTTGGGATGTGACAAGGTTTCAGGTTCGAATCTCAGTACCACCTTCTTGGTGTTCCTTGAGGCACCCTTGGTACACCCGATAACGGCGGTAGCACAATGCCGGGCACTGCGCTGTACACAAAGACACACTAGAGGGGCTCATCCGTTCAAGGGATTTTTTTTTTTTTTTTTTTTTGTATACGAGGTTTTGTGTTATTTTTACATAGTACGAGGACTTATTTAGCTATAAACCCCGGAAATGGAGCAATGTTGTCGACAAGGACAAGCTGCTTAGGTAACTACTTCCTTTTAGGCTTAGCACAATAGTCACATACTGATACTACCATACCATGTGGGTGATGGAAGTAGGAAGAAAATCTAACGGCGTTGACACTTGACAACAACGCTCCTTTTTCTTTTTTCCTTTCCTTTCTTTGCTGCTGCTGCTGCTCGTGAATAGTCTTGTCAAATTAGACATTGGGGGAATTGCTTTGTTTTGCTCTGTTTCTTGCAGAGATGCATTCATCCTCTTTCTCAGTCTTCAGAAGAATACATCAAAACCGCCATACCCACCACCAGAACTCCAGAAGACTACTGTTTTTCCTTCGTCTGATGATATTGTCCATGGGGATGATGCGTTGTTGGGTTTTGATTGGATTAAGGAGAGTGATGATGATACTGATGATGATCATGGGAGGAAAGGAAAGGAAAGGAAAGGGCATCATCATCCTCTGTTTCTCGCCATAACTGCAACTCTGTGTCTAATCAAAGAAGTGGGTAAGTAAAGACAGTGATGGACGGATGGATGATGGGTTGTAGGGTACAAGCAAGAAAGGTTCCCCTCTCCTCTCCTGATTTGTTTCAGGCTTTCAGTACGTACTTTTTTCTCTCGTGAAGGACTTGTCCGTTCTTTTCATTCAATTCATTTATATGTGGCAGTGAAATGGTATTCTTCAACTTCTGTATATACATGGTCATTTGTTCACAGATGATAGAAAATCGTAGGGTTGGAAACCTTGTTATCTATAGTGAAATGGTGTTTTTGAGGGGTTGTTTGGAGTTTGGGATTCTCCAAATTGAAGTATTCAATCAATTTGTGTATTGTGATCAAATGTATTTGATAAGATGTATCAATTTGAAAAATACTTTGGTTGGAGGTTTATATCGTGCTTTGTTATAAACAAAAAAAATAGAGGATAGACAATTCGTTGTCACTCATTTTGAGTGATTGTTGGTGGGCGCAGAAAAAGGTAATACATGTATCCTGTCATAAATTTAACCAAAAAATGATTTAATCTTGACATTACATGCATTGTTTAAATACATTGTTTGAAATCACAACCTCCAAACGAAACGACATGTGAGTTTTCCGAAGTTGGAACAAGTGATGTCAATATGACCTATACCTTTGTGGAGGCTTTACAATGCAAGTGTATGTGATCAGCTGGCCTACCTAGCTATTCATAGCTATACCAAATCCAAGGATTGAAAAAGCTGACCAAATCACTCTACAACTTGAAAGAATCAAATACCGCAATCATTATTGGATTTACGTTCAAACAATCTTTTTTTGGTTACTCAGTGCTGATTCTGTGAAAATTGTGATCAATAATCGTGTTTGCTTGAATCATTAATTAAAAGGAAATGGTAAATACCAATTTTACCCTCATTTGAGAGCACCATCTACTCTCCTTATCATGGTTGTTGTGCCAATGAAATGTCGGTCGGTTAAATCTAGTATAATTGTTGTTGATTATGAAACTGACAGGAATACAATTACTATGATCGATTTTTCGACCTCTAAACAAAATGACATCACTTCATTGAATTTAATTATAAAAAATAATGGGTGGTTTATTTTATTTCATGAATTGTGAAAATTAAATGCTTATATTATTTGTCGGCATCAAGTATATACGTTTTGCATGTTGACGTTAAATGTTGCATTTAAATATATTTATCTGTTCTTTTCTTTGAAATATTGTATTTTGTTTTAATATATAAATATAGATTGGAAGTAGATTGTTTTCAAATATAATTTATATATGTTTAAATTGTACTTTTACATTTTTATTTAAGAACCACTTGCTAATCTGGATTCTACCCGTACTATGTACTGCTTTGCTTTACTGTGTTGAGGAATGTAACGCTCGCACGCGGGATCGCAGTTTGTCACTCCAACCCCTCAAAGTTTTATATATATTCAATTACACACCCAAACAAAGCCCAATTAACGCGCGAGGCCAAAAGAAAGATAGAAAAGGAAAGAGGCGGAGCACGAGATCCAAAGCCATTTTGCCGCTGTTTGGTCACGAGAACAGCGCTATGCATCCATTCTTGTTCTTGATAATACTTATTATTATTATTATTCTCTTAAATTAAAACTGGGATTGGGCAACATTCTTAGCCTGTGAATGAGGGATGGATGGGAATGGGATAATCATGGATTCATAATTCCATTTCTTCTTTGACATTTGGGGGCCATGCAGCAGTAGGGGAATGAAGCAAGGGATTGGAATTGGAATGGAGGCAGTTGAGGACTCACATGGAGAATGCCACAGGGAGGGGGATTTTTTTTTTGTTTTTGTTTTGATGTAAGAATGGGATAGAGGCATAGAGCTAGTCCAAGTTCTTGTTCCCCTAAAACACCGATAACTCCGTCTGTCATGTTTCGGCATATCCGATGTCTATAGGGGGCAACGTTATCAGAAGGGAGGAAGATCTATTCATCATTCGAAGGTCAACCATTGGGCTCCAGAATCTCCAAATCGGGTGCTTTGCCACCGGATCCCAATTCGCTAAAACACACAATTAAATTTATGTAAATTCAATCGACAACAGATAATATTAACTTCAAGTCATATCAACGACTACATTAAATAAATACACAATTACCATTTTGCCTTTTGACCTCTATGTGTTGTTTATGAAATCTCAAAGACCCTTTTTTTTATTTGGATAAGATGAAAAACAGTATTTTTTTAAGAGCCGCCTAATGAATCGTGGAGATTTCGTTCATAAATTGAAATGTACTTTAAATTTATTTTTAAGTATAATGAAATTAAAATAATTTATATCATCATTAATTGAAATATGATATCTTTCTAACATTGTATGAAATAAATTATTGATCATCTCTCTAATTTTTTGTATTCTCCATGAAACAATTTTCAATTGATATCATATCTATCCCATTAAATCTTTGTATTAATTTCTACTGCAAGTAGGATTTTTTTTTTTTCGTAACACAAATCATAATGCTGGTGGAGAGGTTTGAATGCGATGTTACTGTAGGTTTCAGTTTGGCGCAGAGAGAAAGAAAGAAAGTGTTTAAAAAGTGAAAAACTAATGATATGATTGACTGGAAAAGAAAAGAAAAAAGAGAAGAAGATTATGACTGAAGTAAAGGCCCACTTTTTATGCTCTTCTTTACTATATTTTGGGCCTCTAGTGTTGACTAACATGCATGGATTGGGGGTTGGATGAGAATTGAAAGGAGGAATAGAATGATAGCAGTTGGGGATTGAAGAAACACTCATAATAATTCCTCCCTCGATCTCAGCTTCTTTTTTTTTTTTTTGTATCAGCAGAAAAAAGAAAAAGGAAGGAGGTAAATAATAATAATAAAAGGAAAAGGGACTGGAGAAAGAAACTACTGAAGCATGTCTGCTGCTGATTGTCTGGTCTGGTTGCTAGGAGTTCTGTTGACTGATTCCATGAACCAAATCCTATTTATTTTTAGTATTTACACTCCCAGATGCTTTTTTCATTCTTTTTTTTTTCTTTCCATTTGAGAGGGTTGTTGTACACTGTAATACTTTGGGGTTGTTTGGAAGTTGTGATTCTTCAAATTGATGTATTGGGACAATTAGTGTATTATCATTTGATGGATTGAATCAATTGATGTATTGGGTAAATATCTTGTTTGGAGGTTTTGATTTTGTTTTTGTTCCAAAGGTAAAAAAGTTAGTATTGAGTGATTGTGAAGAATCTCAACAAAAAGTAGATATTGTAAATCCCTCAATATTGAGGGATTGTGGTGGGACCTCCAAAAAGTAAATGCATGTATTCTAGTTCTATATAAACCAAAAAACGACTTAATCTCACAAATACATGAATTGGATCAATACACCATTTGAAATCACAACTTCCAAACGACCCCAAATTGTCTCGCTAAGTCATAATATGTTTCACAATAGAATTTGTAATATCTGTTGTTCGAGTTTTGTGACCAGTACATCATTACTTATTAATGTTTTGGTATATGGATAGTATGATTTAATTTTTGATGAGCATCATGATTTTGGTTAGTAACACAATGAGAGGGAGCTAGAGATAATTCTATTTTGATGATTTTGGTTACTTCGTCACGATTTAGTATATGGCTCATGTTGTGTTGTGAAAATTTTGAACTTAGCCTATTTACACTCTCCTTCTCTCTCAAATCAACAAGAAATAAAATTTTATTTACAACAATGCTTCTGGCAGGTGATGCAAAGGGGACCATTGATAAAGTCAGAGCAGGAGTGGTAAATGATGCGCTAGGCGGAGCTATTTTGCAGGAAATCAAGTGGATGCTCCGAGATAATCCGGGATTATCAGTGCACTTTGTAGGCAGACAGAACAATAGGGCAGCCCATTTAGTGGCTAGAAAAGCCCTCTCTTTGTCTCTGCGTACTTTGAGCAGTTTCGATTTTTGCGCTTGGCTCCATTTGGAGTTTTAAACGTTGTATCTTTGTTGTTCTTGGTAATACAAGCTATCTTTGGTTTTAAAAAAAAATAGTTTTAAACGGTAGACTACTAGTTAAACAAATTAAGTGTGGACCGTTTGAAACGCAGGTTAATACCCTGGTTGGTTATGACAACCCTTTTTTAAGACTAAACTATTGTTCGCTTTTTATTTAGCCTCCACGAATTTCTTTTAGGTGCATAATAGTGATTTTCCAAGAGGTCAACCATTTCTACACTGCTTTTGATTAATTTCAGAATTCTCACAAGAATTCCTCAATTTCACTAAAAATGTTTCTTGTCGGTTAAGATTGGATGGTTCCTTCTAGTCCAGGAATTCCCTGTGCTTTGTCGATGTTTAATTTTCCCAAGGTGATACATTACACTCCCCTTCCTCTTTGGGACTCAACATCCTCATTGAGGTTTTCTCCATCGTGTATGTGGGCGCAGGTGTATGTGGATGAGTCTCCTTGAAAAGAGGAGCTCTAAACCCCCTGTTAGCCATTCAAGAGAGACGTATAGACATTGGTGTAGCCAGAATTTCATTCAAGAGGATGCGTTAAAAAAAATAATATAAAATAATTTTTGAACAATAATCCATTATGAAGTTTCATATTATCAAATTATTTTAAAACAACATAATTATTCAAATTATTAAGATTGATCTCAATGTTATCGCACCATATAATCATTCGCGACTTCTTTTAACTCTATTAAACTAGTCAATATTTTCATTTCTCTTCCGACTATTGTTATCATAAAAATTTATTGATTTTTTTTCTAATAGTCCGCACCTAATACTCATCTTGATAAACTGTCATGTGGTCGATGTTTGTTTGGGGATGAGACCGGACGGGAGGCTAAGAAGCCGCCACCGACAACTAGTTGAAGCCGCCGGGCCCGGGACTCGCTCCTACAGCAGATTCCAATATCAGAACAGTAGCTGACCAACGATCGATATCACCATCTTTATCTTTCTTGACCTCATGGGTGCGTTTAATTTCTTTCTCATAAGTTTTCTGTCGTTCTCGTAAGAGCTCGTTCGTTCATTAATGGCGGAGTGGGCTAGCTGTCTCTTTCGCTCCATTTATATATATATGTGTGTGCGCAGATAGTATAGTAGTGCTTTTATTGGCTTGTCGCCTGCTGAGACGCTCCCTCCTAAACTAGCCTCGCTCGCTCTCTCGCTCCACCATTATATTCCTTCATCATCTTCCACAACTACACTTGCACTATCTACTACCCTACTAGGGTACTACTAGCTAGCCTGTCCATGACGAGAGCCAGTTTCACTGTACTTTGAGGAGATACAGATTGCTGAGAAGTATGCGAAGCATTTATAGTAATTCACCATGTGGTCTAACGCTAATCCGGCCAGGTAAAAAATAAGGTTACATACTATACCCCGAACAAAAAAAAAACAACAACAACCGTGTGTACGTCCATACACCGTGGGTCGGGAGCGTTACTCCCTCCCAACCCTCGTGACTTCCATTCGTCGCTAAATAATCCGATTCAAGTCATATCAACGATAAATTAGGGCGATGAAGATAGCCCAAAGTTTTAATCATAGTGTTGAATATACAACTATGAGTATTTTTGGATTTAGTGCAATAAAACTAGCAAACCAAGAAACGTGGGAAGGAAACTAAACATATAAAAAAAAAACCCCAACTCCAGCATTGTATATATGGGGTTTTGCAAATACAATAAGACGTCGGTCCATGTGAAGTGAGTTCAATTTCTGCGGGGGAAAAGAGTGCCACTGGGTGGAAAAAGGGTAAATGGGAATTTTAGTGTTGCGTAACAGACTTTTAACAGTACCAATGATGAAAATGGTTTCAGTTAAAGCCGTCGACGACAGCTCTCGCAGGCGAAGGCAGCCTTAGACAGATTGGCTTTGTGCCGAAGGGAAATCATTGTTCGGTTCTGCTTTATATATTTAGAGTACGTTTTTTTTCCTTCTTCTTATAGATTAAATTAAGGCCACATATACATATCTAGAGCTGTTGATTAAGGATGGAAAGTAAGCTGCTTCTCTCTCAATTCATTTTTTAATGACTTTTGGTTGCTTTTGTTGGAGGTAAAGTGGGGTTCCAATTTTCATGACCATGTTTGTTCACGTGCCCTTTAGTTCTTGAGCAGGAATTAACACAATCATAATTACGATTCTTTACTTTAGGTAAAGGCTAATGAGAGCATGCCAAAAGTCCAAACTCAAACAGTACGGCAGCCTAATTCATGATTAAATATTAACTCTTTTTTTTAAGTGAAATGTCATTAAGAATGCGACCGGATCAAAGCTCAAACGGAAAGATACATGCAGAGTAAAACGAAATTGGATCAGAAACCAAATCAAAAAGGCCCAAACATGTGGGCCGGAAACCCAATAGGGCCAGGACCCGGGCCAAAACAAGAAAGGGTTTCAAAACCCTAAAACGCACACTCTGTTCCCTCTTGTTCCCCATCACCGCTGCCGAGACCCACAACTGTTGTCGAGAACACCCACCCGGCGACGCCACCGCCGGAAAGCGCCGCAACTGTCGTTTGAATCCCACCAAACTCGTACGAAGGGGAGGGGAAGAGAACTTCCCGCCTTCCCTTCCCGAGCCAATCGCCTCCAGCCACCCCCAATCAGAACCCAGGGACAGCAGCAAACGACCATCGCCGATGAAGGAACCAGAGGGAAGAGGACCTATGTTTTCAAGCTTCTCACTCCGAGTCCAACGCCAAGGGCTGCATCTCCGACGCACCTAGATCTGCAAGGTGAGACATGGAGGTAGACCAGGGAGAGAAAAGGAGAAAACAAGCCAGATCTGGACCAAATCTAGCCTCCTTCGCATCTTAGAAACGAACCATCATCTCCAGATCTGAGTGACCAGATCGAAGGGCAAAAGCTCAACCCACCAGAGGGGGAGGAAGAAAGATCCACTGACGGGAAAGAAAAATCCATGGAAGGCAGAACAAAACACAAATCTAGAAAGTAAAACAAGCGCACAGAAAGAAAAAGGAACGGAAAAAATTAGAAGGAGGGCTGCGCCGACCGCCGGAGAGATGCCGGCAGCAGCCCCCACACTCGGCCGGAATGGATGTTCTAGAGAGAAGACAGAGAGAATGAAAGGGAGAGAGAAGAGAGGGATGTTCCATTGCCGACGACTATTCCACTTGGATTAAATATTAACTCAATGTTGTGTTGTGTGCATCAAGATTATGAAGGATCGATTTGTGATAGTTTACTTGAAAACATTTTGCGTTATTGTGTATTTCTACACTCACATCCTTACTTGTTTTTCCTAGTGTAATGTCTATTTTTTATTCAAACTTTTTCACATTTTTTTATATTATCAAAACCTATTAAAATTCTATTAAAGAGCCAAATCTTTCGTAATGCTAAAAATATTAGTCATTTTTACGTTATCGTTAATAATTTTGTAACTATTTTCTTAATTAAAATACTAAAATTTTGGAATGTTGACCTTCATGTGTATCTTCCAAGTCAGTATCATATTGCCAAGTCAATATCACTAACAAAATTGCTAACTGAAAGTTAACATTTGGCTAATTCTTTATATTTTGATAAGCTTGGATAATATAAAAGAATCTGAAATTTTTTTGGAAAAAAAATAGACATTACCTTTTTTCTCTCTATGAGGAAAGAATTCAAATTGAGTTTGAAGTTTGTAACTATTCGTTATATCTTGTGGGTAAATTAACGACATATATTAGGAGTTATATATGTACTCAGGTCGGTCCAACGGCTTGTGCTGGAAGCACTTGAGCAGGGATGGCAACAAAACCCGAACCCACGGGTACTCACCCGACCCAACCCGGTCAACGCGGGTAAAATCCGTGTTGACGAGTTTTGGGCCGGGTTTGGCTTTAAACCCGTTCACTATTACTGGGTTGGGGTTGGGTTAGCTAAACTCGGCCCATGGGTACTGTCACGACCCAAAATGTCGTGACTGTGTTGATCGTCTGAAGAACGTTGCCATCTGGTTGTCTTGCCATGAGAAGGGTAAAGGGGGCGACATTAGCGATAAGGCTTTGTCTGCCTGTGCATCGCATCTGGCCGAGTCAAGATGTGGCTATGAAAGGGATCGTTGCAAGAGAAGGCACAACTGGTCGGAGGCTATTGCCGTCTCCCTGATGAGCCCAAGGCAGGGCGAAACCAGTTGGCATGCGTATGCAGAGAGGCTGGTCTTGAGGAATGAGTGCACCTCAAGACGCCACACAGACTTCGGAAGTCTATGTCCGTGACAAGTGGTATCAGAGTCTGGTTAGGCTGAAGAGTCTAGTTCCTCTCTCAGTACGACATAGGTCGTGAATGGGCCAACCTTATGCCCGAATGAGAGGCGGTCCTAGGTGAGCATATCAGGCGGTCCGGACGCAGATACACATGTGTTGTGCCGTTGTGGGGGACCTCGACAGGCTGAAGATGCAGCGGCCGAGAATGCCGTTCAACCGAGGAACTAACGCTAGCGAGAGCGTAGGGTGAAGGTCGATTGAGGTACAAACGCTGGGAGTAGCGTAGGGTGAAGGTCGACTGAGGTACTAGCGCAGCAGAAGCAAAGAGTGAAGGTTGATGTCGAGGGGCGAAGCGGTATGTGCGCAGGGCACAACAGGCTAGCGCGAGAACGCGACCGGAGCCTGTCCATCAGAGGATGGTGTCGATGCGGATGCCCACAATCGGTTCGAGAGTTGCAATACATGCTGGGGAGAGAAGCATTCTTCACCAGCACGAGGACGTGCTGCATTATGAGTGGTGGAGAATGTCACGACCCGAAATGTCGTGATCGTGTTGATCGTCTGAAGAACGCTGTCATCTGGTTGTCTTGCCATGAGAAGGGTAAAGGGGGAGACATTAGTGATAAGGCGTTGTCTGCTTGTGCATCGCATCTGGCCAAGTCAGGATGTGGCTATGAAAGGGATCGTTGCAAGAGAAGGCACCACTGGTCGGAGGCTATTGCCGTCTCCCTGATGAGCCCAAGGAAGGGCGAAACCAGTTGGCATGCGTATGCAGAGAGGCTGGTCTTGAGGAATGAGTGCACCTCAAGACGCCGCACGGACTTCGGAAGTCTATGTCTGTGACAGTACCCGCCCACACCCATATAATTAATTTTCTCGACATATTTAATATTCTAAACAACTAATCTTATTTATGTTTGTGGATAAATGTCTAATTTTTTCTTTCTAGTTGTGTAGAATGAAGTTGATGTTATCGAGTGGAGAGTGAAAAACTTAATTGAAAGGAAGAAGCTTTTAATTAATCATGTTATTTATGGATAATTTGTGATTTGCTTCAATTTTCTTGAGTTTTCTAAGTTGGTATTGAATAATTTGTATAGTTAATTTGTAATTTGCTTGATTTTTCTAGAATGATATTTTATATATGGATAATTTATATTGAGAGATTGATATTTGACTTTAATTTTTATATGAACTTGTTATTGTGAATTTCTTACGACAAAAACCCGTGGATACCCATGAACCCGCGGATACCTAACGGGTTGGGTTTGAGTTTTTCAAAACCAGTGGGTTTTACCCCAGGTTTTTTCACGGATAAACCGATTTGTTTGGGTTTGGATTTGGCAAAACCCGACCCATTGCCATCCCTTACTTGAGCTCATGCTTTTCAATTTTTAAGGTCCTCCAAGAATATAGTCTTGAATATCATCATCGAGCTCATGAGCTTGGAGATTTCAAACAAAAAGACTATCATACTGTTTGGTATCAAACGAATCAAGAATTCATTTCATTGTAAAATGAATTACCGTGTAGAATTGATTGTCAAATGAAGTCTTGTGTTTGGTATATCATATTCAAATCTTTAGAAATAAAATGAATTGCCATGTAGAATTCATTAGCAAATGAATTTCTGTGTTTGTGTTGGGGGTGTTACTGAAATACTCCGATTCAGACTAAGTAGGAGGGCGCACAATCGACAATGGGCAACACTCGATACCCGTTACAGGTATATAAGGGCTTGAAGCCCTCCAAAGAAAGGGACTTCTCCTCTCTCCTGACTTCCCACTTTTTATTATCTCTCTACACTTTATCTCTCTGCCTTGTTCTCTTAACTTTCACCTTAAACATAAACTGACTTGATCGTCGAAGATTAATCCGGGGGGCAACCCCGGCTCTTTCACAGGTCTCTTCCCTCCCGACGAGATCAGACGAACGGATCGTGAGTCAACCCCACACTAACAATATCATTGTTCGATCCAGAGCTAGACGGTATAAACAGGTATGTATATGTATAAGTAATTTAGTTAATCAAAAGAGGATAATTATGTCATTCTATTATAATTAGTAAATACTTGTGGAATTCATTTGAAAATTCCATCTTAATTTCTCGAAATTGCTATAACTAGTTCCAATTCCATAGAATTTAAAATTCAAAAATGGAAATGAATTCTTTTAAATACCAAACACAAAATTGTTTCATTTCTGAATGAAATCTTCAAAACTTATGGAATTCATTTATACCAAACGGTATGTAATATGTTGAAAATTTGGTTGAAGCGTATTAATCGGGTGGAATCAGTTTGTGATTTGAGTGACACATCTTTTCGCTTAGTAGCGGTTTCATTTTATGGATAATGACAAAATTTTATGAAACAATGCTTCATGGATAAAGACAACATTTTATGAAACAATGATTTATATATTTACAACTTTTCATCAAACAATGTTTCATAGCTAATAGCAACCTTTTCATTAATCAATGCAAGGTTTCGAGTTGAAACAATACATGGATTCAACTCCTACAAATATATGTGTGGGATGAATGATGGAATAAAAGTATCAAACTCATTCTTCTTCTTCTTCAAGCAATACATGGATTCGACCTCTACAAATATATGTGTGGGACGGATGATGCAACGATACCATCAAACTCATTCTTCTTCTTCTTCTCTTCTTGTACCGGAAAATTTATACGTTTGTTCTAGAGTTCTTAACCATATAATTTAGGGTTAATATTTTCGTATGGCCTGAACTTTGACCAAAATAAACATCATGACCAATCTTTTCGATCTATAACATCCTGGCCCAAACTATACACCAAAATAAACAATTTGGCCAAACCCGATGTTTGACCGTTAACTTGGACGGTCAAACGCGTTGACTAACAGTCAACGCGCCATGTCACTGCCAAGTCAGTAGATCTGATAAATATTAATTTTTTTCATTTTTTATTTTTGGTTTAACTAAGGTATTAGATGATTTTTTTAATTTATAATAATTTAAAATTAGAGAATGTGTGGAAATTGTGAATTATTTTAAATATTTTATGTTGACTTGGCAGTGACATGGCGCGTTGACTAATGGTCAACGCGTTTGACCGTCCAAGTTAACGGTCAAAAGTCGGATCTGGCCAAATTGTTTATTTTGGTGTATAGTTCGGGCCAGGATGTTATAGATCGAAAAGATTGGTCATGATGTTTATTTTGGTCAAAATTCAGGCCATACGAAAATATTAACTCTAGAATTTAAAGGGTGATAGTTTTATCCTCGAAATAAATTTTAAATATAACCCAACGCTTTGTGGAGGGTGGAAATATTCTTTGCAAAGTGTGAACATAGTTCATGACTATCACAATCCTAATATCTCGATTTCGGACGTTCGAATGTATACCCTCGTTCTCATAAACCCAACACAATAAACCTCCTCAAGACCTAATTTTTCAAGTGAATTCAATTCCATGTTGCTTATCCACTAACTAGTATAAACTATACAATAATCAATCCTACCCCTTTCCCTGAAATCCAAATATGATCACATGATGTGATTCACATCTCAGAACCTCCACAGGGAGCAAAGAAATCCATTCATATCCCTCTATCAGTGCAGCTGCTACTCTTTTGACTTTTCAATAACTCCGAATCCTCGAGATTCCATAAATTGACACTTACATTTTCAATATCAAAGTATCTTTCTTTTTCATTTTCATTAATCACAGTACTGCAGCTGACTTCTGACAGGTTCAAAGAAAAACAACACACTCTGGTCCATCCGGTTTAGCTAGAGTCAATAAAGGGGTTGGTCATGTCTGTACCCATTCTCCCACTGTCGTTTTATAGTGTTCATTTGTCAAAACTCAAAAACCCTTCAGCTTTTTTGCCCTTTCAAGTTCTTGCTGGCAAACAGAAGCATGCAGCTGTTCGTTCATATGTCCCTATCCTTTGTTTGTTTGTCTCTCCTTTTATATTACACGAAGAAAAAAAAAAAAGGATACTGAAAACACCCTCAAAAAGATAACCCCTCGTCTTTCCCTATGAAAAGCATTTCGTCGAACAGTTTGTGCACAGTAACATTGTAAAAAACAAAACCCTAAACCCAAAAGGCAGCAGAAGAAGAAGAATAAAAACATTAGCCTGCCATTGAAAGACAATGTGCATGTGAATGTTGCTGATTTGGTTTACATGTTTTGTACTCTACCCACCCAATCCCCAATTATCATATGTAAACCCTAAAAACACTTTTTTTAGAAAAATGAAAGAAAACCCACTAGCTAGCTAGGCATGCAGCTGGCAATTACATATCAGTCCTCCAGATAGCTGTTCGAACAGTACTGTGGCCTAATAAACATAAAGGCGCCATTAATCTATAGCTGGTGCACTAAACCAATATCTATCTATATATCTGGCACCCAGAAAAAAGTACAACATTATTGATTATCATCTTACCCACTTTCTTCTTTCTTCCACTTCCACCCTTCTGAGATAATCGCATTGAATAAGCATGGTGGGTGTTGCATTGTAGATGATATGAAAAAGACCTATGGAAAACTCTAGTATAAAGTGTAAGAATATACATGCATTAAGAATATGTCAACATGAATCGGGTGTATATCCTTATCACAATCAAGCATACTTATGCTTGATTGTGAGAAGGATATACACCCAATTCATGTTGACATAAGGCTTGTTTACTTTCATTTTTGTTTCCTGTTTTTTAGAAAACAGATGTTAAAAACAAGTGAAGACAACATTTTATCAGTTCCGAAAACAGCAGGAAGTTGTCACTTTCTGTTTCATAGTTGGAAACGAATAGAAAACAGAATGAAAAGTAAACAAGTTTTCTCGTTTCGATTGCCAAATTTATGACATGAAAACAGAAAACAGGAAACGAAAATGGAAGTGAACAGGTCGTGCAACACTCTCTTTTTTTCTTCTTGGTCCTTATTATATTGTTGCTATGAATCTCGCAATAGTAAGTTTCATCAAGGCCAGCCAAGAGAGTGTGTGTCGGGAGGCCCTCCGGCATAGAGCTTCCAGTCAGATCTGTAGTTAATCCAACTATATATCGTATGTTGTAGTTGTAGTGTATGATTAATTGATTATGAGTTTAATTATATAAATTAATATCAATGTTATTCATTGGTTAGTATCGTCTTGTATATATACACTAGACACTCATATTGCTTGTCAAAGTAGGATTTTTGTTTCGAAAATCCTATTTGTGAAAAAAATAATACAAGAAAATAGTTATGATAACAATTAAAATGATCCCATGAAAAATACAAAAAACAGAGAGATAGTAGATAATTATATTTTAAACAATGTTAGAAAGAAATTACATTTCAAATAATGATTATATAATTATTTTTATTTTATTTTATTTAAAATTCAATTTGAATCAAATCTCAATTTTGAAACATGACATCCACGATTCATTGGACGGCCCTGAGTTTCGTATTAGGTGAATATCACAAGTGATCAATGAAGATTATAGGGGAATATGCACAAAATTCAAACTGGATGTGAGATTAGGATTATTATGATGCATGATGGTTGGTTGTAAAAAAAAATCAAACCACATGATTGAAGGTGATTATGGTTGACATCATTTCTTCAATGGGCTAATTATAATGGTCTAATTAAATAAAATATAGTCGATATGGAGATAAAATGATTAGTTATTCGTACGTCGTTATAATCTTTTAGTGCTTCAATTCCTTTGTAGTAATCGATTCACAATATTCTTTCTTTCACAGGGAGCAGATTGCGATATTCATTCACTTAATTACCACATATTATAAGTAAACTTGCAATGATAAGAACCCCACTAAAAACGGTTTATACCTTCAGAAGTTCAGATTTCTCATCTCTGACCAATATTTTTGAAATCTATCTATCTTCACGATCCATTCATTTAGCAATTCATCGATACTCCACATCTAAAGCACCTTTAAATTATCATGCAAACATGAATGATTCG